ATTGCTTTATACAGATGAAGTAAAATTTTAACAAAAAAAAAGAAAAAGTATCTTTAAAAAATCATCCGGCACACATTATGTCAAATAATAATATATTTCGATTATAGCAAAGTAAAATCTAAGCCCAGATTTTTTGATGTCTGATCGACTTTTGGAAAACTTTTACTTTCACCAGAAATGTTCCTTTCACTATTGGAATCAAGGTTGCTTAAGTTCGACTAGAAAAAAATATAGAGGGGAGGATTCAGCCATGTCTCTATAAATTCCTCGCAACCTATTGCTCTTAGACAGCAAGCGCACACTTAAACTTTCTCTTTCGAAAAAAACTCTCGTCTATCTCTACGGTTTTGTCCACTCCCTTAAATTTTAAAGGATTGGCTAAAAACTCTTGCAAACAAACTTCTCTTAAATAGTTGATTCAACCAAAAATGACTTATGTAGAAGACATGTCTTACTCTTCTTGGCAACAAGCAACAGTTTGGTACTCATTTGCCAAACAGTAAACATATAATGTGAAATTGCTGTATGATAAATGTGCTATGGAAAACAGATTCTACTTTTCATATAGATATTGATGTTTGCACTTCTTTTATTAAAATGCCACCGATCTTTTTCCTCAGTCAAATAAAAATACACTGAATATCTACAATTATTACAGCATCTATCTGTATCTAGCCACCCGTTTCCAGTTGGAAAATTGAAAGCGTCAGCTTCATCTTGTATATTGTTGCTCATTTTTATCAAACTCATTTTGCATCTTTTTCAATTTTTTTCCATGCGGAAAATTGGATAACAATGCAACTTCTGGTGTCTTATACAACATCAGTTTGAGCATCCATTGCAAGATTGATGCTAGATGGATTTAAAAAAATTCATTTTTGAAACCTCAAAAGGTGGAGAAAAAAGCCAACTGCAAAAACTTGATTATTTGATTTGCATTTTTTGAGGTATATGGTGTAGTGATTGCTTTATACAGAAAAAATAAAAAATTTTAAAAAAAATTGTCTTTGAAAATTATTCAGCACACATAGAGTCAACTAAAAACAAATTAATTTTGATGTTTGATCGATTTTCGAATGTTCTTTTCTTTTATCAGAATTGATATGAGTTCGTTTTTCAATTGTTGCTTGAAATATTGGAAGCAAAGTTCTAAAATTCCGTTAGAACAACATACAGTGGAGAGGATTCAGCCGTGTCTCTACAAATTCCTCAAAACCTAATGCTCTTCGAGAGCATGCGCACATTTATACTTTTTCTTTCTAAAAAACTCCCGTCCATCTCTACGGCTTCGTCAACACCCTCAATTTTTAAAGGATTAGCTAAAAATTCTTGCAAACATTCCTCTCTTAAGTAGTTGTTTCAACCAAAAATCACTAATGTAGAAGATATCTCTAGCTCTTTTTGGCAAAATGCAACAGTTGTGTTTTACCATTGGCCCATCAGTAAAGTATAATGTGATTTTGCTGTCTGATAGGTAAGCCATGAAAAGCAGTTTTCTTTTTTCAGTTGGCTATTGATGTCTGCACTTCTTTTATTACAACACCATCGAATTTTTTACCCAGTTAAATGAAACTATTTTGCAGATTCATATTTAATACAGCACCTATCTGTATGTAACAATCCGTTTCCAGTTAGAAAAAAGATAGCTTCAGTTTTTTCTTGTCTAATCTCCTTCAAATTTATCAGATAAATTTTGCATCTTTTTCCAACTTTTTCACGCAGAAAATTGAATAACAATGCAATTTCTGGTGCCTTATACAACATCTATTGCAAGATTGATGATAAATGGAATAAAGAAAACTCAATTTTGAAACCTCAAAAGGTGGAAAAAAAGTCAACTGCTCGTATTAAAGCAAAAACTCGATTATTTGAATAGCATTTTTGAGGTATATGGTGTAGTGATTGCTTTTACAGATGAAAAAAATTTTAAAAAAATTATCTTCGAAAATCATTCAGCACATATAAAGTCAAGTACAAATAAATTTCGAGAATAGCAAAGTAATAAATTAGGCAATAACTTTTGATGTTTGATCGATTTTTGAATAATTTTTTCCTTTTATCAGAATTGATCTGAGTTCCTTTTCGAATTGTTGCTTCAAATATTGGAAGCAAAGTTCTTAAATGCGGTTAGAAAAACATACAGTGGGGAGGATTCATACGTGTCTCTACAAATTCTTCAAAATCTAATGCTCTTCGACAGCATGCGCACATTTATACTTTTTCTTTCAAAAAACTCCCGTCCATCTCTATGGCTTCGTCAACACCGTCAGTTTTTAAAAGATTAGCTAAATTATCTTGCGAACATGCCTCTCTTAAGTAGTTGTTTCAACCAAAAATCACTTATGTAGAAGATATCTGTAACTCTTTTTGGCAACATGCAACAGTTGTGTACTCATTTGCCCAACAGTGAAGTTTAATGTGATTTTGCTGTCTGATAGATGTGCCATGAAAAGCAGTTTTCTTTTTTTTCGGTTGGCTATTGATGTCTGCACTTCTTTTATTACAAAACCATTGAATTTTTTCCCCAGTTAAATGAAATTATTTTGCAGATTCAAATTTAACACAGCACCTATCTGTATGTAACAATCCGTTTCCAGTTAGAAAATTGATAGCTTCAGTTTTTTCTTGTATAATCTTCTTCAAATTTATCAGATTAATTTTGCATCTTTTTTCGACTTTTTCACAAAGAAAATTGAATAAAAATGCAATTTCTGGTGCATTATACAACATCGATTGCAAGGTTGATGATAAATGGAATAAAGAAAACTCAATTTTGAAACCTCAAAAGGTGGAAAAAAAAGTCAACTGCTCGTATTAAAGCAAAGAACTCATTATTTGGATCGTATTTTTGAGATACGTCGTCTAGTGTTTGCTTTACATAAATGATGGTTGCTTACACAATTGCTTTACACAAGTAATTCTTATTAATGTGATCAAAACTTTTTGTGCTACTTGCACAGCAGTCATCCACTCTTTTCATATTTTTAGACTTTGATCAACAAAAAATGAGAGGATTAGAAAAATACTGAAGGTTTTTTAAAAAAATGCAATTCACCAAATCCGGCAATTCTAGGCAAAAGTTGAACTCAGATCAATGTAACCAATATAGTCAACGAAAATATGGCAAAGATTTATCTTATGAAGCAAGCTGAATTAAGCTGAATAAAAATTTGTTAAGTTAAGTCGCATCAAATTTTTTTGAACATTTCGTTTACAACACCAGTTGCTTGAATTAGCTAGGTTTCAAAATTGAAAAGCTTGAATGAACTCTAGGAAACAAAATTAATGACCGATGATTTTGAAATTTATTTTAACGTAGGACTGATTCATTTTAAAATTACTTGATAACAACAATCGTTATTGATTGGCAATATTTATCAAAATAAATAAAATAATTTGAGAACACTGGATCATTTGGTAATTTTTCAGTTCCACGGGAAAATCTCGAAGATAAATCCCATTTTTGAAAAATAAAGTAAAGCTCAACTTCTGCACTATTTGCAATTTCGTTATTGGAGAGCTTAACATTCATTCTCTTTAGCGAGTAATTTTAAATGAACTTAAGAGAAATCGAAGATCAAAATGCCAAAATAAACTTCAACGCCAAAAAATCAAAAGCCAAAACACATAAATATAATTTTGAGCGTGAAAAAAAAACAAACACAGTCACAGCATCAGTAGACAGAACCTAGCGACCCCCATTATCATTGTCAAAAAAAAACCCAAAAAAAACGATTTGTTCCTTCAAATTACCTTTTTTACCTGAAAAAAAAGTTTTTGAAAAAAGCCTTTTTCTAAGTTTTTGTTATTTGATTATAGAATCTCTCACAGTATACTAACCAACAGTTTATATGATTTAATGTGCATAAATGAGTTTGAACGTGCGAAAAATGAATGTGAAATGCCAAATTATGAAATGTCAATGAGTCTTCGCCAAATTTGAGTCTGATCAGCTAACTATTTCTCGACACTGAAAAAGGTTTTCTGGTTTTTTTTGAAAATATGACTTACGGCTGATACAGTTTTGATATAAAAGCTCACTGCCCCCTTCCCCCAATTAGTTTTTCCCTATGGTCGTCAAAATTGAGTGGAACAAATCGAGTGTCTTTGGACTCAAAGGATCTTGGATATTTCAAGAAACTAACTATTTTCAAGAAACTGAATGAAAACCAATGTTCAATTGTCTATAATTCAGCACAGATACTTCGGTCATAAAAGGTTTTACCAATTTGAAACTGAGACAAGGCTGATCGTATCTCAAGAAAAATCTTCAACGTGTCTGCGAGTCTGAGGAAAAATAACGAGTCAAGCCGTTTTTGGCAAACACAAATGATATCATCAAAAGAAGCAACAAAAAAGCTTTTATCAGGGCGAAGCCCTGAAAAATCCGACTGCCTTTTAAGGTCTATGCAGTAAGGTTCGCTTGAAAAAAAATGAAAATCATCCCCCTACACGCTATATAAAGTACAAAGTGATGAACGCACAGAGCAAAGTATTAACAGAGAGGCGAAGCTGTGTTTCGCAAAAACTAGTGAGAACACAGCAACCAGTAGCTCTAGAGTTCTAAAAAGTGCAACAAAAAATAAGCTTCGAATTAGTAAAAATTCGGCGACATCTCGAACTCGTACCTACGACCTGCTGCGACCGAGAGATTATGAGTCTCACACACTAACCACTCAGCCATGAAAAGAAGATAGGGTAAATATCTTTTGAATTTTGAACTCAAGACATCAAGTATTTTCACAGTTGATAGACAAAATTCGGCGACAAAAAGTTGAAAGCTGTTGGATGGGAAAAAACAGGCTAACTTCAAATATTCCGTCATTTTCAGCCAAAAACTCATCAGAAATCATCGCCAGACATTTCAACCAGTTCACCAAATGCCTCATATCAGCCCAAAATAAATTGAGGAATAAAAACTGTCTACTCAGTAAAAATCTGATAAAAAAACGATTAATATCATCAAAATTTACAAAAAAAATAACTGGTATAAAAATGACCTTTTCAAAACAGGGTTTTCGGTCTTCCAGTCATTCGGCATAGATGTCGCCCATGTCTTCTGTCGCTCATCCATGCCCACTAATGCATTATTCACCACAGGTTTGTCCCCCTCTAGTTTTTTAGCCTGCACCAGTAATGTCCGTTTAAAATTAAAAATCAAATTTTTAACAAAAATCATTCAAAAACATTACAGAATAGTTCAAAAAAATTTCAAAAAATTAAATTTTTAATTAAAATAGCTAATTTGTGACAGAATTTATGTAACAAGTGTATTCGTTGCATTGAAAATGCAAAACTATATCAAAATGAAAAGATTAATTCTGTCTGTCTTATTTTTTTGCAATTCCAAAAATTGCTTTTTTTTGTAATGGATATTACTGGCCTGTACTCTGGAAACATCCTCGTTTTCTAGTCTCTTCTGTCGGCGAGTCGCCTTTGAAGTGGCTAAACTGTTCACTAGTTGAACTTCAGCCTCGAATATTTGTCGGTACATTTGCCCATTTTGAATAGGCTTCATACCCACAGTTTCCGACATTTTTGAACTTCTATTTTTCTGTTTTTTTTCTCCTTAATTAGATCGAAGAATCAATTTATACTAAAGGTGTGGAAAAAATAGAATGGATAGAAAACTACATTGATGCTGATTGCGCACACGATCACATATCTGACCTGAAATATGAAATATTAAATTTGAATTTAGTTTATAAATTATAACTTTGAACACTGTTGTGAGGTTTTATTCGCAAAAACAATTCTTTTTAAATTTAAATTTACAAGATTCGTTTTCCGACAATTATAGTCAAGCAATTATTTATTATGTTACATCTAAATTTCGGATTCTGTTAGACTTACAATTAAAAATATATACATGTTTCGCTATGTACAGTCTTTACAAAAGTTAAATTTTTAGTTTTGTCGAAAGCGTCAATTAGAGATGACTTTAATGATGATAGAAGACGGATGGTAAGTTAGTGATGGCTACTATCAGATGAAAAATAGGGAGGCTGTCTCAGTTTAGCCAACTGTTCGTCAATTACAGGTTGAAACAAATTGTGGATGAAAAGTCTAGCAGCGGCTGAACATGCATTCTGATTCAAAATCAGCAAGCAGTCGCTGTAAAGACAGACTAAGTCTCGTTTATCCACTTTCTTGAAGTTTTTCAGATTCAAATACCGCTCACGCACAATGACCTCGAAAGCGTCTGAAACCATCGAATGTTTCAAATAGCCGAAAACGAATTTACGCATGAAATAGTCCATGTTCTTAGCTACTTTCGTCGATGTGAAGCTGCAAAGTTCGGTTGTCCAAAGCAGCAATTTGTCCCTATAATTTTTTGGCAAGTATATGGCATCAGTTTTGGTTGAGAATCCATAATAACTTCCAAATCGGCCAGGATTTTTTTCGGTTTCTCGTGACGCTGACAGTTGGATTAGGTTGTAAATGGTTAAGCATTGGAGGCAATTTTTCCCTTCGTGCGGCAGATTGGCTATTGAATCGAGAGAAGTTAGCGTGCTGTTGCGGTTGAACTCGTGAAATTGATTGCTCGGATATAGAGGTGAAGTGAATTCATTCTCAGATTTGGCCGAGAAACTAACCCTGAAAAGAAAGCAAAATTGTCCATATTGCTGCGAAAAAACCATTTCTGAGTGTATCGAAATTATCTATTATTGTCCGACTTTCGAAGAAAGTGGCGGGATAATTACTCATGTGTGGATTTTTTTATTCAGTCAAATTTCAACTTTTTTTAAACTTTTGACAAAAAATTATTGAACCATCTGTAAAATATCGTTGTCCTGAGCTCAAATTTAAAACAATTCTTCACCTGTAATCCTTTTTTTTTACAGTTATAGGGAAATAAAAATGGGAATACTTGGACCATAAAAACTAAAATTTACATAGTTAACGCGCAATATTATTCATCCTATTAAAGCGTACAGGGCAAAAGAATTCAATTTGAAATGAGGCCAGCAATTTTGTCTTATTATACAATAAAAGACATTGTATACATCCCTTCGTGTATTACATATCGCATGGGAAACAAAAAGAAAAACAAAAAAAAACATTCAATTTCCAACTTATTTTTTGGATCTTTAGCTTCAAGTGCTAGTCAGAAAAAGCCGTGATTTTGCCCTGATATATGAACTGTAGAGTTTATTTACAAGCGCGTTTCACTATGTCGTTCAACTTTCAGCTTTTGCTCTCTCTCTCTCTCTCTCTCTCTATTTATCTATCTATCTATCTATCTATCTATCTATCTACCTATCTATCTATCTATCTATCTATCTATCTATCTATCTATCTATCTATCTATCTATCTATCTATCTATCTATCTATCTATCTATCTATCTATCTATCTATCTATCTATCTATCTATCTATCTATCTATCTATCTATCTATCTATCTATCTATCTATCTATCTATCTGTCTATCTATCTATCTATCTATCTATCTATCTATCTATCTATCTATCTATCTATCTATCTATCTATCTATCTATCTATCTATCTCTATCTATTCGTCTATCTCTTTATAAATGTAGACTTCACTATCTCACCCCGTGTAATTGGGTATATTAAACTTTTTTCAGGTCTTTTTTACTGCTTTCATCTACTTTCTGTGTAGGAAAACATTCATGGGGCTGTAACTTGATACTGAATGTACAAAAAGCCAAAACTTTTCACAGAGGAAAAACTGAGCTTCGCACCACTTGTGATAAAAAAAACAAGAAAACCACTTGAAACGAGTCAAAAAAATCAATGCATCAAAATGAGTAGAGCTAGTTTTGAAACAAAAACAAGCCAAGACAAAAGATCGTAGAATTCGCATCGAAAGAAAATTTACCAAGCGGTAACAAAGCCGAAAACACTTTAGCATAAACCCTTCAAGCTGAAAAAAAACAACAAGACTTATAAAAATGTATTAAGTTCCCCTCATTATTAATACAAACAGGCACCTTACACGCACGTCAAATGAAACAATATGAGGCCACTAAACCGATACAAAATAAGCCGAAGTTTATTAGACCAAAAAAAAACTTTTAAAAAAAGCCAAAAAAAGTTTAAGACTTATAAAAAGTTGTTAAATCCCCTTCACCCTCAAACCTCCCAAACACGCAAAAAACTTTTTCGCTTCTCGAACAAAGTAATCGGATGACACTCAGCCGATATATTATAGGCGGAAACTTAAGTAGCTGAACAAAAAAAAATAAAATTAAAAAAGCCGACAAAAATTCAAAAACTGTAAGACTACTTTAAAGTTATTAAGTCCCCTCGCCATCAAAACACAAACACAACATTAAAAAATATTTTTGCTCGAAGATCGACGCAATATGAGGCCACTAAGGAGGTAAAAATAGGTCCAAATCAATCCAGCCGAAAAAAAAGGAAAAGGGAAGAAAAAACAAAAAAATAAGAAAACTTTAACAAATCGAGTTGGTTAAATTACAAAGGACATTCAGAAAAAATCGACCAGTGCAAATGTTTTAAGTCCCAACAAAAACAAAAACTATCTGTAGCGGTAATGTGGCTATCTGTAGCTTTAAAATAATTGCTAAGAGGCTTCAAGGAAATGACTCCAGATGAGAAGACTCCGGTTAACAAAGTTGTTTAGGGGAGAAAAAAGTCTAGTACCCGGTGCAATACCCTTGCTTATCGCAAGGGTAAAAGCAATTCAACTTTTCGAACGCATTTTTTTCGTGTATTTATCTGTAGAAATTTTGTATGTTTTATCAGAAGTATATCTTGCCATATTTTAATTTTTCTATATAAATCCGCTTTTGATTTGTTTAATTTATAAAAGGTTCAAGCACCGTTTCATTACTTTCAATATAATTTTTTTATACCTGCAGTAAAAACCGGCATATAACAGCGCTTTAACACTTTGGTATTCCCAAAACGTTAAGTTTGATCGGGATTTGCTTTCTAAAATTGAGTTAATGTTTTTCAAAATTTTAATATAGCTGCCCCTTCCGGAATACCGTATCAAATCGCAAAATTACACCTAAAATATGAGATTCCCAAATGCTTTATTGTTTTAGATTTCAAGAAAAGATGTTTAAATAGAAGATTATAGAAAGTTCATAATACAAAATCATTGCCATCAAAAAATATGCTGAGATGATGTTCTTCTTTCAAAATGTCCAGCTAAGAAAACGTTGTAAATAATCATGTTTTAGACAGAAAGTTTCAGACTATTGAACCTTTCTGTGTTCGAGATACTGGTTTGGCTACAAAAAACAACGCGGATTTTCATTTAAAAAAAGTGAGTAGATTCAAAATGATTGGGTTCTTTTACTTTAAAATGACCAATTATTATTAACTTTTTAGACGTATTTTTAACACCCACCCGTCTATTGATGGAGGTCGTAGATATCTGTTTCGGTTGTTTTCGAAATTGGCCGCATCCCTCTGCATAGTTATAACCCTAGGTTGATGCACAGGAGTTGAAGAGAGCACTCGGATCTCTGGAACCATTGGCAGGTCCCCGGAAGACCTCGGTTCTTCATTCGAAGTCAAATTATTGGTCGCATAACCGCCAGAAAAACTTTCTTGTTGAAAAACATTATCATTCATTGCAAAACTTGAGCGGTCATCGATTTCATTGGAATCGAAGAAATCGCTTTTGGAATTTCGTTGTTCAGATTCCTCGAAAGAAACTTCCAGGGAGTTCCCATCACGTTTTGCTGTATATATTTTGGTTATTTGCCTCATTTTATAGGGCAACACACGCCGCTGACCTGAAAAAAATTACGAAATCTGTTAAATGAATCACGAGATCTGTCAATGTCATATAAATTTCATTAGAAAGAAATTTGATTCCCAATTTCCTCCTTAAAAACTGCGAAGACAATTCTATAAAAAGAGAAATCATTGCTTAAGAAAAATTATCGCAGAAACTTAGAGAAAATTTATTGTAGTACAAAAAAAAACAACAAAATTTGATTGCTCTAAAACCGGCTCTTAATAAGGAAATTCACATTTAAACTATTCAAAACAGAACAGCAAAGTATATTTAATAAAACTAATTCTTTCAAAATTATGAGAGGAGAAAAAATCTGATTCTTACCACTTCTTGTAGAATTTCTTGCAATAACGGACACACCAGTTTCCTCAGCGGTTGTACATCGGGTTAAGCTTCCGTCGTGTAAATCATCCGTCTCCTTTCTGCTTTCACTTCGAGGAATTTGAACGAAAATATTTTCTTCCGTTTTCAATTTAGGATTCTTCTCGTGACAAAACTGTCTACAGAGTACTTCAACTGTCGCTGGATTGCTGAAAATTATATGCATTGCGTCATAACTCAAAAGCACATCGAGATCCAAAGGCTCCGAGTTCGAATCTGGCACTGGGCTGGAAACATGTGAGACCCAGTCCAATTTTGCAATAGCTTTTAAAGCACTTTCGCAGAGAAGATTCAATGCCATCATTGCAACCCCGCGAATTGACAGGACACGACATTGCTCGGCTTGCATAACTAAAAAGTCAGAAAAAAAAGACATCACAAAGCTGAAAAAAATGGAACTTGACAAATTCAAATCAGGGGCGGATTTAGGGGGGGGGGGGGGGCGGGTTGGCGGACGCCCCCCCCCCCCCTTTCAGGGATTCGACCCCTGCCGACCCAAAGGGTCCCCCCTTTGATACTTTTTAAGAAATCCATTTTTGGCCAACCGACCCTAAAAATTTTCTAAAAGCGCCTTCGGCGCCAATATATACTAATTTTGAGGGGGGAGCGCGCGCCGAAAAAACGCAATTTCCGGTCAAAATTTTCCAAAAAGTGCCTAAAAACGCCTTTTTTGACCTGTTTTTTCAAAATTTTGCCTGCGGCGCAAAAAATTTGGCCAAAATAGGGACAAAACCGTGCTTTGGGAGAGCTCGAAAAATCAATTTGGTCAACCTAAAAAAAAAAGTCGTCAAAATTTTCGACAATTTTTTGAAAATCCGCCCCCCCCCCCTCGAGAAAATCCTAGATCCGCCCCTGATTCAAATAGTTATTATTTCACTAATTTAAAATAATGCGTTACATCTTGCGGTGCACATAATTTTGATTAAGGGAAATAATTTTCAATAATGCAGGAGAACTCGAAAAATGGGCTTTTATAGGAGAGCTCAAGGTTTTTTAATAGCATAGATCATATAATTCTTTTGGTCGGTCTTCTTGAAGGAAAAAAAAACGTTTTTACCATCTCTCCCCCTTATCGCTTTTTTCTCCTGCTTTGCTAAAACCCCGGACATTATCCCGGTTCACATTCTAGACAAAACCTTCCAAAGCCAAAACGTTCATAAACAGCGAAAAGTATTTCATCAAATATTTCAGTTTGGGTTTGAAAAACTGACCAATCAGAAGGACTGCAGCGAAAGGGAGCGTCGCGTATCCAACTTCAGAGGAGGCTATCTGAGCTATCGACCAAATGGCCGCCGTGACAGCTGCAGCCTCTTTCTCACTCGGGTCCAGCTTCGTCAGCCAATCGGCGTGCTTCGAAATGATGTCACCACACAATTGAAAAAGAAGATTCACACCTCGTCTTGACTGGGATAACTCTCCGAACAAATGGGGAGGAATAATTGAAGACTCCGTGAATCCTAATATTAAAAAAGAATTCGCATGTGTCAATAACCTTCAGTGATTATGATCCCTGCTGGACTAATGATTTACGCACTTCAAGAATTTAATGCAGCGATCAGTTTGACAGCGGCCAAGCCGAGCTTCGCAACACTTGCTATACAACAAAAGCATAGCATGACAAGTTAGCTGATAGAAATTGAGACGAAAACCGCAGAAAAACATGATCCTTCAAAAATTTTGAAAACCTCGCGAAAATTTTTTTTTATCTTTGTCTTAAATCAAATACATTTTGAAAAAAAAGCATGATGAATAAGAAAATTGAAATTTACATTTGCATAGAAACAAAGCGGTATTAAAGCCGAAAAATTTTGAGCATAAGGAAACTTGTTTCGCTCATCTAGCAATGTAAAATGATGCCACTAAATCTATTAAGTAAAAACCAAAAAAAAACTTCTAAGCCGATCAAAAAAAACTAAAAATCAAGAAAAAAGTTCCAGCAAGCCGGAGTTGATAAAAGTAAAAGCAACATAAACACAGAAGCGAATCAAACACTAGCGAGAACACAACACAAAGCAGCTCTATAAAAAGCAATTAGGAAAAGTAGAAATAAGCCTCAAATTTTTAAGTGGCATTCAAAGTTAGGACAAAAACGTAGCCTTAAAAAACTATTCAGGGCCACGGGAACTACGCCGACAAAAATAAACATTAGGACGATAGTCCGAAAAAACTGAAAACTTCTAGTTTGAAAAAAAACAGGTCCAGATGCGCCGGGTGGTTGATTGATTTTGAACTTAATATGAAGCAAGATGAAACAATTGCGAAAAATTGTCTACAAAATTTTTTAAAGCGAAAAAGTGTAGTGCCCGGTTTCAACACCCTTGCTTATCACAAGGATAGACAAGTCTTAGAGAAGATGATACGGAAGAATAGGAGCTGGTTTTTATGGAAAATAAAATACAAAAGACATTAAAACTTGTGACGTTATATTTAACCCAAAACAAACTTATGCTGAATGGTGACAAAATAAAAATTACCTGTGGTGACAAATTTTGAATGGTGACAAAATAAAAATTAAAAGTTCCCTTAGCCTGATCAACATTCAGAAATTTTCGGTTCGATTTAAATGAAACTGAAGAATTTACAAATAAAAAACCAATCAGCTAAACATCGTTGGGGATTATTAGACGCAAACTGTATTTTATGGGACAATTTAAATGAATGTCTACGCCAAATGGCACATGAAATTCAACCAATCTACGTCGTGCGATATAAGCTGCCACTATTTTCGCGTATTACGTCATTGAAATCTTTTCGATTCAATTTAGTCATGGCAAAAATTGTATCTTCAGCCAATTACCACAGAAAATCATCGATCATCAAATAAATAGGGTATTAAAGTCTTTTTTTTTATGAGAAATAATAAAAAGCCAATTGTCAAAAACTGCTTTTGTAAAATAATACTAAAAAATCGACAAATATACGGAAAAGAAATTGAAAAAAAAAACAGAATTTTTTAGTCAGGAAACACCCTGAGTATTTCATATATTTTTAAATGTCTATGGGCCAGTCTTCAATTTCAAAAAAAAGAAACTGATGAAGTTTCAAAAATGGAAAATTTTATAATTTGTTTTTTTTGCTAACCGTGGTATTGAAAGTAAATATTGAAACTTTTACTATTGAGCAACGTATCAAATCGAACAATTAGCATGATTCAGGTCAATTTGGGATTGACTTTGAGCCGGATTAATTCGCCGCTTATGTGTTATCATTATGAAGTATATCGTGTGTTAGTTATCACAAATATGCCAATTTGGCAATTTCTAAATTTTCATAACTTAGCAAAAAACGATTACATGCAGTGTTTTTTTAAGTTTGAGCTGAAAATACAAATAGCTTTCAGATAACACTAAAAAATGTCCGTCAAAATGATTAACTAAAAAGTCAAAAATGTTCTCGAGAAAAAACCCAGCAAATACAAAATATTCCATCCTTTTCTTCGAAAGTCAGGACAAAAAATTGACTACCTACAACAGGTAAAAAATGCAGTGTGGGACAAATTTAAGCAAAATAATGATCAGAACACTGTCGATTGTAAGGATATGCGGTAGAAGTTGAGTAAACTAACCAAAAAATTGAAAAAAAAACTTTCTAAAATAAGAAAAGACAAAAGAAACGAACAAAAATGTAAGTATTATTAAGTTAGATGCACAACAAAGATTGTGAGAGTTTCAACATAAAACTCAAAACGAGTATCCATCTTCGAGGTATAATTAGAGGAGTACTCAAAAATAGAAGAACACTGGCAGGGCATTGCAAAGTTTTCATGCGAAAATTTAAAAAATATATGTTTTGAAAAATGGTAGCTATAATAAACGTATAAGAATTTGAGGAACCTCACCAAAAAAAAGAAACCGTCCCCGCAAAAGAATTTTCTTCTCTTGTTCCAAAAGATCCATCCAATCACCTGCACCAGGCTGATTTTCAATTCCCAAAAACTTAAATTCCCGAGTAATACACAACCAGTCTATTAGTCAGTAGCAGAACTTTTTTGCGATAGTTGCTTGAGTATTTGCTTCAATTTTACGATTAAAATGTCTTGAAAAAGCCTGATAAAAATTTAGTGTTGTTCATAGTTTAGTGTCGCATTATGACAATGTTCGCATTATGACAATTTCTAATTTTGTTTGTGTAATGATCTCACTTGAAAACAATTTTTTGTTCCAAATTTTGAATAAAAAAAGAATTATTGTGCTTGAGATTGTTTTTGTATTCAGTCAAAATTCGACTTTTAACTAAGCGTTTTGACGAAAATTTTTCTTGACCCTCTGAAACATTTTGCCATCCGGAGCTCAAATAGAACAAACCAGCTCGTAAGTGGGCGAAGCACTGAATGTTAGGAGTGCCGTATATATTCAGTAAAAAGATTTCAAATCAAAACATGATAAATTAATCGAAAAAAATTGTTTTTTTTTTTAATTTTTCTTTTTCATTTGATGCACCCCTCACGCTATATAAAGTACAAAATGAAATTTTTGAGCCTGGTCAATTGAAAAAGAGCAAATTGCATGCTTCAACTCAATTTAGCACGATTTATTTTTCCGCATACGCTTTAATAACACAAAATGTATCCAGCGTTAATTATCCCAAATTGACCATTTTAAACCCCCTAAACTTTACAAAGAATGATAATAGTTGAAATACTTTTTTAAATTGAGCTTTAGCCAGCAATTTCTTTCAGATTAAATTCTAACAAATTGCGTCAAAATTGGCTTGTTAAAAGTCAATATTGGCCTGGATAAAAAACCGTTCCGAGCACAAATATTCCGTCACTTTCTTCGGAAGTCGAAGCCAATACAATTTTCACCTGCAATAATTTTTCGTAAGGCTATTGGGGTTTAAAAATGCTAATCTGGACAACTTGAAATGATTAACGCGCGAAATATGCGATCTCAGAACGCGTGTTAACGGCAGAATAATGTGATCTAAACTGAAGTCATTTTGATTACATACATCTCTTTATAGTTTAAATTAGCTTTTATGGGGGTGAGGAAGACACTGAAAGAAAAACTGAAATCAGTTTTTGTCCTGATATACGAGCATCTTGTTGTTCCGACTTTTGAAGAAAGTGACGGAATATTTGTGCTTGGGTTGGTTTTACTTCTCCAGACAAATTTCTACTTTTTAACTAGCCATTTTTGAAGGATTTTTTTGAAGCAAGTTTCTGCCATTTGAGACAATTAACGCGTGATAAATTTACGCATAAGAGCTATTTAATACGTCTTAGAAATCGTTCCAAATTTGATAGAGGCGTGCTCTTTAGTCTAGCAGTGCTCTTTAGTCTATGTAATACTTTGTCATATGCAAAATATATCATTTTGTACTTTACATAGCGTGTGCGGGTTTTGAATAGCGTTTTGAAAATTTTTAAAGCATTTTTATGAAAATTTCTTCAACTATTTTATTTTTAATTACTCCACACAAATTAAAACGCAGTCGGAACTTTCAGGGCTTTGCCTTGATACAAGAAGTCTTGTTATTTTTATTATAACCCACCTCTTTTTTTGTTTCTTTCCTCTCTGATATGTTTCGAGAACAATCCTAGACTCATTTGCTCAACGCATTTTGCATATCGCTCACAGAAGTTTCCCTTCACCCAAACTGCGACTATTACGTAATACAGTGTACTACCAACTCCCTGGTCGTTGTACTCATCCAGCAGTAGATCCAGTCCTTGTTTTTGAATAGCCAGATTTTCGCCGACATGCGGTATTTCGACAGAGATATGGGAATGTCTGGAAGCAACAATAGTTTAAACTATAAAAAGAATTTTATTTGCCTTACACAACCCAAAAAAAACGGGGTGCATACAGTAAATAGTTGTGTCAGTAAATTACCAGATCAGTAAACCAATTTACGTAATAATTACATCAATTGCGGTATTTAAGATTTATAGAATAAATGTTTCCTGAGCTGGAACAATAATTTTAAATTACGGGGCGCATGGGAAGAGTTATTTCATTCCATTTTTTATTCAACTTTTGTTTCAAAGTTCAAAAAAAACTTTTGTTTTGAGGAAAAAAATTTGTCATTTTGTAAAAATCTCAGTTTTTAGCTAATGGGATTACGTAATTGAATCATAAATTTTCGGTTTACTGATACATCGATTTGCTGATCTCCCCCAAGAAAACGCTTTTTACCTGGAATAAGGCAAACATTTGATGGTACATTTAATTTAACCTTCTTTAAGTCTTGTTTAAAGAAAATACAGACAGTTTGGTTGTATCTTGATAAAAAATATGCACGAGTCCAATAATTTAAAAAAAATAAGAATAGCCGGTTAATATGCAGGTAGCACAAAAGGTTCGACCAGTCTTTAAAAAAATTTATTTTTTCAAATTCGTGTAGTTTTTATCTGCGAGGTGTGATAAAAGGTCTGACGTAAAACTATAATTTAGGCAAATTGGCATTCATAGTAACATAGAAAAATTGGACAATAATTTTTGCAGAAAAAAAATTACTAGAAAAACAAAAAATCAAAATCTTTTTTTTACAAACTTTTTTTTGCAAAATTGTTGATTTTTTTTCAAGTTTTTGGTTCTCAAAAAGGCGCTTAAAAGCTCCAAAAACTTGTTTTACTTGTTTAAAGCTAAATTTTTTAGGACTTATTTTAAACATAAATAAGCGGTTGTGAGCCAGCTCGCATGCTTTCTTCGCTCGAAACTGAAATAAAAATCAAAACGTTTAAACCAGTTTTTCTCGATACTGAGAAAAATTTTTTAAATTTTTAAAATGTCGTTCGAATCACGACTAAAACGGCTTCAATTTCGTATACCAGTCGATCCAGTCCAATGATATTTTGAGGTGCCTGATTGCGTTGAAAAAAAAAACTAAAACACACCCGAACACAACTCAAAGCAAATCAGCTCGAAAAGAATGAATTGCCAGCAAACACTATAAAATCAAAACTCCAACCTAGGGCGTTCAAGAGTGCCGAAGTAAAAGAACTGATACAATTATCAACCATGATTTCGTATTAGTTCCATTTTTAATTTTTTCTCTCGCTTTATTCGACTTAAAAAATGTTTGCTTTATTTATTTCGACTTAGTTTCCTCATATTTCGTTGTTTGAAAAGCAGAAAAAATCTTCCGCTTGTGCGAGTGCATCCAGGGTACATGAAAACCGCAGTTTTTTCTGCTCTAAAAAGTACGTTGTTTCTGCTCCCAAGTATTGTTTTTTATAGCCCCCAGACCGCCCAAACATTGACCGAGGTGATCAATCTGTACTTTCAAATTTATTGAGTGCACTCAATCTCTTAAGCAAAATTGTGGCTAGCTATAGATATCACACCTGTTATTGAGATGAAGTTTTTCATTCTCATCTTCTTCTGGCTGTTGTTCAATGTTTTCAACCCCGGAGATATTTTGGACTTCTTCCTTCATTTCTTCTACCTCTAAGGGGGTGATTAAAAACTTAGAGAACAGACAAATCAATTTCAATTGAGTCATTTCTTTATTGTTCGCCTTTCGTCTTGGTTCATTGCCAGTTTCATCGAAGTCTATGACGTACAGGCTCAGCAATTCAAATGGTTTGCTTCCACTGAAGATTATTGGCAGGATTCGTTTGTCTGCTGACAATGCGATCAGTTGGTTCAAAGCTAGCTCCCTGAAACAAGGCCCGAACATAAAAAAATCTCAACTATAGGTCGACTTCGTCATTATGCTTGTACTCGAAATCATTATTCGAAGTAATCGAGCAAGATATTCGAGCAACAAAAAAATGTATAGTTCTTATATCATTTTTTATATTTTTTTTGCCAAATCTGACAAAAAATACCTAGCACCGTAAAATCTTCTCACCTTCTGAGGGGTGCTCGGAACAAAAATTTTAAAAAATGCCGACATCACAGCCCAGCACGATTCGAAAGTTCTTTAACGTCTATGAACTAGTTTTTCATTACAAAATTTGATTAAAAAATTCAAAATATGAAAAATGCTGATTTTTTTTTCAAAAACCTTCAACCTAAACGTTATGTGAAGCATAGAATGATATATTTTCTGCCTGACTATTCTACATTTGAATCCTTCGGAGGAAACTGGAAACTTAGAGCGTATTAATTATTCAGCATTCACTAAATTGGCAACTTTCAAATTTGTTTGTATATTGTGTATACTAAAAACTAAAAACAATTTTGCTCTGAATTTCGAAGAAATTGACGGAATATTTGCGCTTGGGGTGGTTTTTCTCCAGAAAAAATCTGAAAACTATTGATTCCCTAAGCTCAAAGATATTTTACCTACAAAAATTTCGTGTCTTTACAAAACAGTCCCATACAAAACAGTCCAATACAAAACAGTCCGGAAAAACATAGCAAAGTACAAAAAAAACAGTCCCATACAAAACAGTCCCAAAAATAGTCCGAAAAAAAGTCCAAAAAACAGTCCCATTGATCGAAGTGATAATTGTTCTAGAAGCTGATAAGTAAATTTATCTCATATTAAACACATTTTGATTCCAACTAATCCGGATAACAATAGGTAGTATAGTAGAGAAATTAGAACAACCTAGATAACAGCAGCGGCCACTCAATAAAAGCAATAATATTCGAAACATTAAAGTTAACGCAATTTAAGAAAATGGACTCTTTTTTAATCCAAGCAAAAAAAGACAGGTTGTTCAATCTCTTTCATTTGCAAACACTTGACAAGACTCAATAGAAACGAAACTCACTATCTATCGATGGAAATCATACTTACAAACTAAAATTCTGAGTTACTGATTTTTGAAGGGTATGTGGTATGCTTATATTAAACACAGAACACTGGCAGACAACTCCCTTTCCTGGCGTTGCGGACAAAGTAGTTGCAATGGCAACAAATTAAATCAATTCAAACTTCAAACGAAATTGAGTCAAGCCATCTGCCCTTATTATTAAGTTACCAGGCGTTATTAAATTTTCTGTAAAATTTTCGACAAATTTCACACAAAAACCTCACTGACTCTAAAGAGCAGTCTGATCAGTTGACGCTTCACCCCGCTCAGTGCATTAATTAGAACAACCAGGAAAATCGTCAGCCAAATTTCACGTATTTTATCCCTCTTGAAGGCACCCAGTGGCTAACATTAAAGCAGACGCAATGTGTTCACTCATAAATAGCCAAAAGTTTGCGCTCATTTTAAAATAAAAATTTGAGGGTTCACAAATTGCTTAATTAGGATATTTGGGATAACTTATGCTCTAAAATTCCAATTTTCGATTAACGCTTAGCGTAGACGACAAATTATTCCGTCTAAAATCATTCCAAAAAAGGAGGCAAAACATTTTATTCAAATACTGCCTCAGTAAGCACGAAAAAAATCCAAATTGTACTTAAAGTTTTGCGTGGGGGCAAACTATATAACATTGAAATCAATTTCAAATTTTTTCTTTTTTTTTTTGAAAACCTGACCTAACTTAATTTGCCAAAACAACATCAATCATTAAAGAGCGATCGAACATTCAGGGCTCTGCCCTGACGGTAGCAGTCTAGCAATCTGTTACAAAAACTTCCATGAGGACAAGTCAGCGCATTGTCATGTATTGATTGAAAAAACCGCCTATTTGTATTAAGTGTGCTTTAATACGAACTTATTTCCCATGTCAAAAAACTCGTTCCTGAAATTTAATGGCAAATTCAAGCAGTGATGCCTGCATCTACTATGTTCAAACATTATTGTCTGATATTACTTTTATCCAAGTCTCCTCCCTAATTTGATTTAGTGAGGGGGGGTTAATTTTTTACCTGGTCCAAACTAATCATTTATCAATCGGTATTTATCACAGTAAAATATGTATTTAGTTCGGTATTTCGTTTGAATCAATCAAAAACAATTTTCACAACTTTTCGACAAATTTTGAACTTAAATTTTACAAAATATACTTGTAATTCCATTCCCAGTACTCGTGTATTGAGTACCGAACGAGTATTATCACGATTAGACACTGGAACAACTGTGATAGTTGGAGCCCAGGAATCAGCATGTAAAAAAGATGGGCCGCGATTTTCACGAAAGTTCAAAGCCGTTAGTAACCAAATGCACATACCTTTTTTAGGGAGCTGACTATCGTACTTGTACTTTTCAGTATATTTTTAACACAGAGGTGAAGCGGAGCTTCGCAACACTTGCGATACAATTAAAACATAAACACCAGAAAATTGGAAAATAGCCAATGAACGCAATGACTGACTTGTTTTTTGAAAGAACAATATACTTCAATTTTCAAAAAAAAAAACAGATAAAAATTTCAAGGGCCTGAAAGCTCTTTGATTTCAAGGAAAGTTTGCAATTGAAATTTATTTGATCTCAAATTAACCGAATTTAAGAAAACTGGATCAAAAGTTAAACTTTTTATTTTGCTGCGATATCTGAAAGATGAAATTTATTTTCGAAAATAGTGGCTGTTAACGTTTTCGTGACCTTTACACTTTTGCTGTTCAAAAGTGGATTCTGCTTTCAGTTTAACAAAGGAAAAGAATTGAACTTAGAAAAATCAGAAGTCAAACAGCGAAAAAGTAAATTAGAGCTTGAATAAATTTCAAGGCTTTTCATGAAAAAAATCACGATACAATATAAAAGATCTGAACTACGTTCATTGACTTTTAAATATCGCATTACAAAACATTGAATACAAAAGAATGATTCATTTTTTTTAAATTAGCTGAAAAAATCAAGTCGAAAAAACTATGTCTACACAATTTCCATACCTTTCCGATGAAAGTTTCCGATGATATTAATAAACGCATTACCAAACATTGAGATTCAATGACCAAGCGCCAACTAGGGCAACAAATTTGGATTGACCCTATTAAGCCTAACCGCATACTGCTATTATGAAAAAAACTTCAAGCTATAAAATTTTACACAGAGGCGAAGCTGCACTTCGCAAAAAAAGCGAGAAAAGGGTATAAAGTAGCTGTAAAATAGTCAAAAGTTTTTTAAAAAGTAAACTAATTAAAATCTGATAAGCGTCGGAATCAAAACTCCATACTAAAGAATGAAAATCACGCGTCTTAGCATCTGCTCCGTGGCAGCTTAACAATAGTTAAACACTAGAAGCCCAGCTAAAGCTGGAAATACCTGTTAGATAAAAAATTTTAAAATGCACTGATGTGGAAAGCAATGCGTAACTTTCATAATAAGCCAAAACGTCAGAAAGTCTGACAATTTTCAACTCCATTGCTGTCATTTGCTCACTCCATACCAGACGAAAAACACGCTTTTGCAGGGAGAATTTCCAAAAAAAAGTGAGCCAAAAATTCCTTCGCACTGAAATTTTTGAGGGTCGTAGAACGCCCGATGAAATAAAAAGACACTAGCGGAATATCCATTCACGCAGCGAAGTAGGAGGTCTCTCTATTTAGACCTTTTTTTTTCGAAAAACGGCGAGCAGTTTTTGAAAAAAAAAAGGATTAATTTGCAAAAATTTTAAACATTTCCATAACCGTCTCAAAAAATAATAAATCTACAACCAAATCCCAAGCATTTTAATCTTATCTGTTTTTTATCAATTAAGAACTAGCCACCAAAAAGCAAGATAAAAAAAGTAGAATGTCATGAGTAAAAATTAAACAGATATAAGAATGCATTGGAGCCCAGTCACGCAACGAAGTGCCCTGTGACGCAGTGAAGTAGAAGATCTCTCTTTTGAGACCACTTTTTTGAGAATCGGCAAGCAGTTTTTGAAAAAAAAAGAGTAATTTGCGAAAAATGCAAAAAATTTCATAAGCGTCTGAAAAAATTTTAAAAAAATAAAACCAAATCCCAAGCACTTTCATGGTAACTGTTTTTTTATCAATTAAGAACTAGCCACCAATAAGCAAGACACAAAACAGGTAATGCCATCAAGCAAAGTTTAAACAGATGTAAGAATGCATAGGTGCCACCAAATTATGGGAAAGTTTATTTGCGACTTAGGTTGGAAAAAATGGGTACTGTTATATGACACGACGCTTCACTGGTGTGAAAATCAAAATTCTGATAACCAATCCCTTCTAACGTAGGCAAAAGCAGTTGAAAACTCGCATTTTGAAAGTACGCAACATAAGTTGACTGAGCCGGTATAACATAGGTCAAACCCGTTCAACCAAAAACAAATTTAAAAAAAAATCAGAGTTGGTAAATTTACAAACCACACAAAAAGTTTCAGTTACAGTCAAAACTGTTTAAAACAAGATTTAGAAAACCGAAATATTGAAAGAAACTACTTGAAAAGCGTACCACATAATTAAAAAAAGGCATTTGAAAAAAAACGGAAAATCAGCCGACAGAAATTAGGACGAAAACCACAATTCTGAAAAAAATCATCAAAAAATCAATGAGCCTAAAAGTAGTTTTATTTGAATTTTCAAGAAGGTGAGCATGTCAGCAGAATTAATAAAGTTGTTCACGGGAAAAAAGGTCAAACAAGCCACCTTGCTCTCGTAATTGAAAAAAATATGTATAAACACACCAACCGTATGTCACAATCATCGCTTTTTACAGATTCGAGCAACATGTTCACGATCCAAGGAAACTCTTTCTTCCCGTACTCACTCCATGGCAGCTTTTCATTTGCTCTGAGCCAAAAGTGGCTCAATAGCTCAAGAAAGCGAAGGGCAAAAATGCGCAGCTGCTTCGTTGCTGATACCATAATTGAGATTTCTAGGAGTTGAGAACATTCATTTGTGCCTTGATCACCTCGATAGGGCATACATATAAGTATAGTCTTGCAAAGAATCTCATTTTCGCCCGAGAGCAACGTAGACACAAAAATGTCTATTAAACCGAATTTGTCAAGAACGGTTCGTCTGTTATGAGAAGGCAAAGCTCCAAGAAAAACAAAATACAGCTGCGAAAAAGATTTAGCCAAGTTTGCAGACGTGAAAACTGACCGTGAATGTTCAGAACTTGAGCTTGCAATTTCACCAGCAATATCACTGAAAAGATTTTTCGCTTTTTCAGAAAAAGAATCGATTTCTTCTTCACGGGTTCCAGATCCAAAAAAATCCGTTCTTGTACCACTAACACGGCTTTCATTTTGTTTGTAATTGCTAGCGAGAAATTTAAACAACAAACTTCCGGCCTCAATTTTTGACCCAGTATCAGCGCTATTTTTTTCCGAGTTTTCTCTTGGTTCCACAAGAATTTTCTCCTTGCTAAAATACTTCGAAGAAGGCTTAAAATATGTGATGAGGTATTCGACAAAATCCAGGACTGTTTTCGCCATTTTGCCGAACCCCACCTCGCGCAAAGAGTCGAAATAACGGAGACAGGTGCAAATCGCTGGCCAATTCCAAGTTTGAAGTCTGCGTTGAAAACCAGTTGCTCATCCGTTATCATTATTTAATTTCTCAGTTTTCATTATTAATTCATAACTCATAACTCATAAAACTTTTTGGAACTCTAGTCAAAATTTTACCGCAAAACGTTTTTTTTTCGCTTTTCTAAAACATTTTCCAAAGATTGGTTGTGCCATGGTCTTGGTATATCATAGTGAGCCATTGCGCCTCAATTACAAACATAACAATTCACTATTTGATACTTTATTGCTTCTACTCGAAATTTTGCTATACTGGTTTTTACATGATGTTGTAAATATTATTAATTTGCTTGTGCAAACTAAGTATAGTAATTTCACTGATCAAATAGTCCGGTTATCAGCAACAACGATAGCTGTATTATCAAAAAATTATATGCATAAAAAATCGGGGTTTTAAAGATTGTGAGATAACTTCTGACGCCAAAACGTTGATAAAAATCATACTGAGCAACTAATTGAACATTTTTTTCATACATAGACAGATTGAATTTCCGTTGCATTCTACTTTCCTGGACAACAACGATGAACTGTTGACCCAAAACATTACTGTCAAAGATAATCAGGGCTATTTGTGTTTCAAGGGCCATCAAGTTTGTTTTTCCGTTGTTTCGGAAAACTGACAAACACGGGTCATACAGAAAGCTCAAATGGTCCATAAAAATAGACGATAATGTTGTTATTTTAAAATCATGCTCGTTTGAATGTTCGGAAAAGGTTCGTTTTGAAATTTCGTTGAAGAAAACTCCGTCGTCGTGAGCCTCGAATTGCAGATCTTGTTGCAAATTTTTCTGGTTAATTTTAGGCAAAAATCCGGAGAAATATTTAGGCAGAATAGCAGAGTAGGTGGAGCGCAATTCTTTTATCAACTTCAAAGTAGAATTTGCTATCTGAGTAAAATTTGTTTGGTTTGGTGATTCTGCATTCAACTGTGTGGTCTGACAGGACAATACTGCATATCTATGATAAACACTTGTCAAGGTCTTGATCAAACCGGCGTCTGCGAGACAATTAAACAAGACCAGTCGGAAGTAGAATAACATATCGACAAATGTCGCCGAAATGAATTCAGGGCCAATAGAAATATAAAAATTTGAGTCGAATATTGAAGCAAGTGAATCGATTTGCGCAAATTGTAAGCTTTCTAAACTTGAATCTGAGCAGCCCATCCCAAGAACAGAAGAAAAAACTTGTAGAACTTCAACTTTCACGTAATGATCTCCCAGTTGTAATACATTCATCAAACATTTTAAGCCTGACTTCGAGTACTGATCGGTCCTTGTATCGGTGGAAGCCATAGAGATTAGTCCAGTCCATGAAGATGTCAAAGAGATCAAAAGTTGCTTTGATTTTTCAATTTTTAACTGAAGAGTCTGCTGAACCAATTCAAAACTATTCAGGGCAAACGGCATGACAGAAAAGTCTGAAAGCAGTGGTTGAATAATTGAAATTAGCATCACATGTCTGAGAGCGCTGTAATCAACCGAGCAAAGAATAGCGGCAAATAACTCATTCGTAAATTTCTCATTTGTACAGTGCGACATATAATCGAAGAGCACGGAAAATGTATGGGATTTAACAACGGAAACACAGTCATGCCGCAGAAGTTCAAGTAAAATAAGGGCAACTGATTTATGTAGCAATCCAGCTGGATAAAAATATGTCTCAGACCGGCGCTGCGAACCAATACTCTGATCATTCAGTGATAAACCAACTGCAAGATTTACGAGATCTCTTCGTTTTCGAGTTTCTTTCGGGTCGTTCTTTGAAATTTCAATGCAATCTCTTAATATTGACTCAAGCGATGAAACCATTGACAAAATGGCGTTTTTATTGAAAAGATGCGATTCATATTTCAGAATTGATCGAAGACAACGAAGGGCTTCAATGCATTCTCCTTCTTGCGTTGAAGGATTGCAGCATAAGTCCAAACATCGTGCAATAAGAAGATGCGTATTCGAACAAAAAATCTGAGTTACATAAAACTCAGTCATTCTAGAGTTTTCAATCGACAACTGCAATACAAGCACCTGATTTAGTAACGATAAAACACTACTTCTTATATCTTGGTCAGTTTGCAGCAATCCAAGAGCCAGTAGATCGCAAACTGCAGCTGTCGAATGAAACTGAGATAGACAGCTGCTTGTATTGGAATCGAAGGCATAATTTCGAGATCTAATTGAAATCACTGACGAGCATGTGGGTTGAAATACCCAGTAACTGCTGATTAAAGCAGAAGCCTTAACCAAATGAAACAAAACTTCATTTTTTCGGTCTTCTTCTCTCAATATTCTTTCAACTGAATCATTGGGCCATTTCTTCTTCGGAATAAACGCCTCTAAGAAAGCGTTTACAAATTCATCTTGAAATTCCATCATCATAACCAAGTTTCTTTAGACATTTCAAAAAGGTTCTGAAAAGGTAATTGAATTGAGGCGACTGTTTTTTGACAACAAAAAACTTCCTGGAATTTGTTTTAGATGGCATGAAAACCTGTTTTCAACTCTCGTTTCTTATTTAATGGCATTGCAGCACATGATAGTGGCGCTTGCATGGTAATTTTTTTTCATCATAAATCAGAAGGTCAGAAGTATCATAGTAACCGAGGTTACAGTCAGTAGTCCTTTCATCACGTATTCCAGTCAAAATCCTTGGAATTTTCTAGATATGGAAGTGATAATGATAAAAGAAGATGACAAGTGTTGAAGTCCTTTTCAATTAAAATCGATACGGGTTACGTTTCTTCAATAAGAACGCGCAACTCGACACGAGAAAACATAATATACAAGTGTTACAAATAGAAAATTTCGTCGAAAGTTATTTTTGTCATTTATTGTTCCGAGTACACAAGCGGCGTTCGCAATCTGTATTGCCAGGGAGATTCTCTGTTTTAAAAAGCTGCCTGCTCTGGGTTCCTCAGTGCATATACTTAGGTTCATACAAAGCTTGCTCAAAAAAAGTTCCGTGCTGGGGCCGGCCGCGTCCTGAATCTCAAAAGCTAGCGGTTGAAAAAGATATGCATCATCTACAAGATCTTTATACTTGTCACTTTTTCGCTCTTCCGCTTCAGCGGCAGCCGTACCAGGGTTACAAACAGACACGGCATTAATCCTACAAGGAGCTAAGGAGTCTACTACCGTTACATCCCACAAAAGCTGCTTACCAACAGCCCATGGAACGAGCGTCAAACCGTCTGGTCTCTTCTGATCGGTCCTGTAGAGGTGTTGTGGTTCTAAAACAGTTCTAAATTTTTTGCTCTCGCATTTTAGCCCCAGCCTAAAAAATGCAATCCCCTGCACAGTAATTTTTCTATTATAGGATTCCTAGCCGAGATCCCGCTAAAATTCCGCTCAAGACTTGCGCAATTAGAGCAGCTTTTCGTTCAAGACGATTGCGCTTAAAACACCAAAGACCGCTCAAATTCTGGCAAAAACTGATCAACCCATTCAAAGCTGCTCAAATGCGAGCAAGAAATTTTATCTTTAAACAGTGTAATCGTTGCAGGGCGTACTCTTCATAACTAATATTTCAAATGGCTTGATAGTTTACATTTTTCGTGAATATGTGTAGCCAAACAAAGTTTCATTCTGGTGGCCAGTTAATAAGCAAAATTGTTAAAGCGCAGAATGGCTCCAAGAGCAGCAAAAAGAGAATAATATCAATTTTTCAGTCCCCTAATTATAATAATAGTCCATATAACCAATGAAACGAAAATGTAACTAATTGTGATGGTTTTTTGTTAATTCTCTTCTTGTTTTCGTTGTATTCTTGTTTTCTTATACATCGATTTTCAGCACTTTTTCTATCTACATTTGGCTGCTCTTTTTCCAACTGTACAGTGAGATCCAGAAAACCATACTCTTTTACAATTTCTGTTTTTTTATGTTCAGCATGTTGAAAAAACTGATTGACAGTAGAAAACGAAATATTTGTTACGATTTTCGCTTGAATGGTACTTTGAATTTTTTAAACAGTTTCCTTCTGAATGAACGTCCTACACCTAAAAACATAAGAACAGGACCCTCCACTACAATCTGAATTTTATAAAATTGCTAAGCGCTGCATAAAATCCTCCATCGTGATTGACTGAAAATTCCCAACATTCTCCCTTCCAAACTGCTTCGGGGGGGGGGGGATGTTATTTTGGTCTAACAATTCCGACTTGACTTGCGGATAATTCCACATTCGTCAAAAAATCGAAGTCTCTCAATTTTTTTCGAATCAGTTTGGAGTGTAAGAAAATCTGGAAAAAAATTCGTTTTACAACGATTCAAGAACGAACCGCATGTGATCTATAATTAAATCAAGAAAGGAGAAGTGAATAATATATAGTAATTTCGTCTAAACTAGTGCAAATTTGTTTTACTATTTCTCGAGAACTGAACGGAGAGAGGCGGCCTTAATGGCCGATGACTTGGAGGAATTCATCCAAGCTCAAAAAGCTAAATTGGCTCAAGCTCGTAGATCACACGGAATCAAACAACCACAACAGGTAACTTAATCTTTTCAATCCTTTCCAACGGGTCTAGGATAACATGCCGACGGAACTTCAAGCCGAAGGGACTTCAGGCCGAAATTTAAACTTTACAAGCACCTCAAATCACTATTTTTTCATCGGTAAAACGTTGCTTTTCAAAATTGTAGGCAAATTTAGTCCATAACAAGTTTTATTCATGACAGTGAATCACTTGGGATTGGCATCCCTTAATAATATCAGCCGGTTTTTGAAATGCATAGCTTATAAATAAATGGTGGGTATTCACAAGTACCAAAATGTTAAATCAGTCCCATATGTACCAAAATAAAAAATCAATTGCGTTAGTACCAAAAAATATTCAATTGGCCTAAGACTATTAAGCCGACTACTTTAAGCTCTTGGTTTGCAGTAAAGTTTCGCATAGGCCTGGGCTAAATGGTGCGTATTCATAGGTTCCAAAATGAAAAATCAGTCCCATAGGTTCCAAAATAAAATATCAGTCGCATAAGTTCCAAATCTTTTCAATTTGCCAAAAGACTAAATAAGCCGAGTCTCGGTTTAAGGTCGCCGGTGGGCGCGCTACGCGCGCGTCGCCGCTTCGCGGCGATAACCGGCTCTAATTTTCGTATAGAGTCCTACCCTCTGTTGGCAAGCTCGCAACACGTTGGCGCGACTGCGGCGGTCACTATTCTGCTGTTTAGTTTTCTTCTGTTTGAACAGTGGAAAATTAATGTAATAATTCGTTGGCTCACAATTCGACCAATCAGAAATCGAGTTGAATAATTTTGGAACAAATGGGACGATTTTTCATTTTGGTACAAATGACCGTTGGTACAAATGGGACATCACCAAGAAAATTGCCTTCGGCCATGTTTTTTTCAACTTTCCTTGAAAACGACAATAACTACTGGAGAAAGATCATGAAATTGAGAAATTCTTCAAAAAAGTTTTAATGAGAAAAATTTTGGCTTGAAGTCCCTAATTTTACAATTCGGCTTCAAGTCCCGTCGGTTTGATGTCCGGCACCTCTTTGCAAAATTTTTCTTTTTAAAAGGAATTGAGTTGTATTGGTAGCTCATAAAAACATGCTCATGATTTCAATATTCTTTGAAGGTTCAGTTCCATCAGAGTGAAAATGCTGGTCTTCGTGAAATTGCGGTTCCTGGGACCAGTCAGAACACTGTTCAACCTATATCATCAGTGAAAGGTTTGATTTTTTTGAATCATTGCCAGTTCAACATTGTTTAATGGGTTAGAGTTATCTCTGCTTTTTTCTTTCTCTGTCATAGCAATACAGTCAGAATACCTTCATCACATATTCCAGTCAAAATCCTAGGAATTGTCTAGACATGGAAGTGATAATGATAAAAAAGGAGATAATTAGAGTGATACGGGTTACGTTTCTTCAATAAGAGCTCGCTACTCGTCACGAGAATAAAAAAACAACATATTATGTATTCCAAATAAGAAATTTCGTCGAAAGTGGTTTTGTCATTTATTGTGCCGAGTACGCACGAGGCGTTTGCAATCTGTCATAGGAATTGTTATTTTAGATTACACTGAGAGTGGTGTGAATTTTGGTGACTACGAAAACAAAAAGCGTCTCTATCAGGAGGAGAGAAAAGCCGAGACGAGGAGCTTCTTAGCTAAAGTATATTAACAGGAGTATATTAACAATAAGTTATTAGCGTGTTGGCAAATAACTGATTATTCCTACATAGTGTTCAATGTCTCAAGTGGTTTTTGGTCGAAAATTTGAACAAAAATATGACATTTTGAAATGAGGTTTTTTCTTCTTGTCTGCCATGGTACGCTCATCTAAACAACAAGCGATATAATGTGCATTAAGTGCATCAGGTATTTTGGAATTAAATCTTTGCTCAGTCTAATTTTAGTCGATTTCTGAATCAATTTGAATCGGCGCCTGCGCGTTGTAAATACAGAAAAGTAGAATGAAGTGTTCAACTTAAATGGGCAAATCTGCAATTAAAAAACTAAATTGCAAAAATTTTGGTCGCCGGATTTTTTTTGTCGAAATTGATATTTTACTATAGCAAGAGGTTTCCGGAGAAAAAATTACAGCTGTGCAAACTTTTCATTTCTACTTCGGCGGTAGAATAATAATTTGAAAAATTATTGACGCAACAGATATTGATCACATAAATTGCTTTCTTTCAGGATCGTCAGCGAAAACCAGTAGATCGCAGCAATATTGCACCTGAGGCGGGCTTACATATCCGGGACACCCAAAGCGACAAAGTAAGCAATTATTTTCTTCTTAATCGGAAGCTTTTCTTTTTCTGGTCACCGACTGTTCGTACATGTAAAATTGGTGAAAAAACTTGATCGGTCTTCGGTATATGATAGCAGAGCCGTTCCAGATTATCAGTCACTACAACTACTATTACTAATTCGTTTATTGTCCGTTTTCCCACTGTGGCGGGGTCCGGAAAGCGTCTAAGCAATGGTTCAGATGAGGACTTTCTGAATAGCATTCAAGATATTCAGTGGAGGATACCACGTTTTTCCATGAGGTTCGATCAAATCAGTCTGTGGATTTGAGACCTAAAGTATTCAGGTCTCGTTTAACACAATCGATCCATCGTTTTTAGGCCTCCCTGCTGGTATTTTCCCTGGGATTGAAACTTGGTCTGTCCATTTCAGCGCATGGTCATTTTCTCTTCGGTGAACATGGCCGTACCAGAATTGGCCGGAGACAAGCTCGCTATATATGAAACCTTGTAATTAAGTCAAAATCTTTAGTCAGCAGCAGACGCAATTTGCCGCCATTTCGCCCAGAAAACTGCTATTTTGGTCGATGATGCACGTATTGCGTCATTTTCAACGGAAATCGTATCATCCCGTTTTGGAGCAAACAAAGCTTGTTTTAAATGGCAAGATAATTTGTTCACGCGTAAACTAAATTGAAAACGCATGTTAATTCTCCTATAATTGATTCAATGCTTTAACCCGCAATTTATAGTAACTAAATCATCATTAATTCATTTTTCATACGATACAGTCGCTTTCCAGCTATCGCGAAGTATCCATTCTGGTCCGCCTCATAACCTAAGGAAACTAAGCACACTGGTTGAGCCTACTACAGAAAGTCAAACTCCATCAGCTATGAAGAAGCTTAAACCACCTCAAGGAAACTATCTACTGAGTTCGAAACGGCAAATTTCTCAAGCCAGCGAGCTTTCTACTAACCTGAATTGTAATCAAGACGAGTTGAGCGATGAAACAACCGAGCGTGAGCATTGCTTGGCTCAATCCTCAACTGCTGGTCACGAGCTGCCTGACGCTATCGCCGATGATGCAGATTATGATCAAGTATTCGATCAATGTCAGAACGCACAGAAGGCTGCTCGCCAAACACTACAAGCCGCAAAGAGAATGATAACCGCATCAAGTCAGCCTATTAACTCTGTTGCAACTATGCAGATTGAACCTACAAAGTTTTCATCAAGATTGCCGCAGATCAATCTGCCTTGCTTCAGTGGCGATTTCACTGCCTGGCTAAGCTTCATTGATTCATTTCGATCAACTGTCCATGACAATGACAAGCTGTCACCTGTTCAGAAATTGATGTATCTCAAGGGTTGCTTGACGAGCCATGCTTCTAAGCTCATCATGAGCTTGGAGACGACAGAAAGCAACTATGAGGTAGCGCTTCAAATGCTACAGCTGAGATACAAAAACGATCGAGTCAGCCTTCGAAAGCTTTTGTCACGGATTTACTGCACTTCGAACGGAGAATGTGTCTCAGCTTCGTCAGCTGCACTTAGTCTTCAATGAGACTTCTCAACGAAAATATGGCGAACAGGAAGAAGTTGAGGATAACTGGTCGGTCGATGAATTACTGTCACAGCAGCTAATATTGGATCCAGAGGAAGTGAGAAATAAACTTCAGGACAGTCCGACAGTGGTCACCTCTAAAGACACAATGCAGGGTGGTGGTCTTAATCTCGCAGTGAAAAGGGCCAAACCTAACAACGCAGGACCCTTCACTAAGCCAACTAAAATAAAGTGGGGTGGGGGATCGAAGGATTAAACGCAACCAATTCAAAAAACTGCCCGAAACAAGAGTGCTGCTACTGCAGCAGAAGAAAATCAACCATCACCAGCGTGCTCGTCAAGTTCAGCGGTGGTCCCACTATCGACTTCATCGCCTCAAAATAATGCAATCGCAAAACCAAAAGAAACATCACGTCACACATCTCCGGAAACAATCCTGGATACGTTCAATAGTAAAGACTTAACACCAGCGGATTGAAACAGAATGGCTGACCAAGTGTTAGAAAGGGGAGTACAGCGAGCGGCAGAAGATGTACTAAAACCCAAAGATGCCACGGGAGAAGATGAGGATTCTAACAATCCACCCGGATTCTCCGACGAATCAGAAGCGGGAGAAACTTCTGTGCGTAGGAGTGGGAGATCAATGTCAGAACGCACAGAAGGCTGCTCGCCAAACTCTACAAGCCGCAAAGAGAATGATAACCGCATCAAGTCAGCCTATTAACTCTGTTGCAACTATGCAGATTGAACCTACAAAGATTTCATCAAGATTGCCGCAGATCAATCTGCCTTGCTTCAGTGGCGATTTCACTGCCTGGCTAAGCTTCATTGATTCATTTCGATCAACTGTCCATGACAATGACAAGCTGTCACCTGTTCAGAAATTGATGTACCTCAAGGGTTGCTTGACGAGCCATGCTTCTAAGCTCATCATGCTACAGCTGAGATACAAACACGATCGAGTCATCCTTCGAAAGCTTTTGTTACGGATTTACTGCACTTCGAACGGATAATGTGTCTCAGCTTCGTCAGCTGCATTCAGTCTTCAATGAGACTTCTCAACGAAAATCTGGCGAACAGGAAGAAGTCGAGGATAACTGGTCGGACGATGAATTACTGTCACAGCAGCTAATTTTGGATCCAGAGGAAGCGAGAAATAAATTTCAGGACAGTCCGACAGTGTTCACCTCTAAAGACACAATGCAGGGTGGTGGTCTTAATCTCGCAGTGAAAAGGGCCAAACCTAACAACGCAGGACCCTTCACTAAGCCAACTAAAATAAAGTGGGGTGGGGGATCGAAGGATAAAACGCAACCAATTCAAAAAACTGCCCGAAACAAGAGTGCTGCTACTGCAGCAGAAGAAAATCAACCATCACCAGCGTGCTCGTCAAGTTCAGCGGTGGTCCCACTATCGACTTCATCGCCTCAAAATAATACAATCGCAAAACCAAAAGAAATATCACGTCACACATCTCCGGAAACAATCCTGGATACGTTCAATAGTAAAGACTTAACACCAGCGGATTGAAACAGAATGGCTGACCAAGTGTTAGAAAGGGGAGTACAGCGAGCGGCAGAAGATATACTAAAAGCCAAAGATGCCACGGGAGAAGATGAGGATTCTAACAATCCACCCGGATTCTCCGACGAATCAGAAGAGGGAGAAACTTCTGTGCGTAGGAGTGGGAGATCAATGTCAGAACGCACAGAAGGCTGCTCGCCAAACTCTACAAGCCGCAAAGAGAATGATAAACGCATCAAGTCAGCCTATTAACTCTGTTGCAACTATGCAGATTGAATCTACAAACATTTCATCAAGATAGCCGCAGATCAATCTGCCTTGCTTCAGTGGCGATTTCACTGCCTGGCTAAGCTTCATTGACTCATTTCGATTAACTGTCCATGACAATGACAAGCTGTCACTTGTTCCGAAATTGATGTATCTCAAAGGTTGCTTGACGAGCCATGCTTCTAAGCTCATCATGAGCTTGGAGACGACAGAAAGCAACTATGAGGTAGCGCTTCAAATGCTACAGCTGAGATACATAAACGATCGAGTCATCCTTCGAAAGCTTTTGTTACGGATTTACTGCACTTCGAACGGAGAATGTGTCTCAGCTTCGTCAGCTGCACTCAGTCTTCAATGAGACTTCTCAACGAAAATCTGGCGAACAGGAAGAAGTTGAGGATAACTGGTCGGACGATGAATTACTGTCACAGCAGCTAATATTGGATCCAGAGGAAGCGAGAAATAAATTTCAGGACAGTCCGACAGTGGTCACCTCTAAAGACACAATGCAGGGCGGTGGTCTTAATCTCGCAGTGAAAAGGGCCAAACATAACGACGCAGGACCCTTCACTAAGCCAACTAAAATAAAGTGGGGAGGGGGATCGAAGGATAAAACGCAACCAATTCAAAAACTGCCCGAAACAAGAGTGCTGCTGCTGCAGCAGAAGAAAATCAACCATCACCAGCGTGCTCGTCAAGTTCAGCGGTGGTCCCACTATCGACTTCATCGCCTCAAAATAATGCAATCGCAAAACCAAAAGAAACATCACGTCACACATCTCCGGAAACAATCCTGGATACGTTCAATAGTAAAGACTTAACACCAGCGGATTGAAACAGAATGGCTGACCAAGTGTTAGAAAGGGGAGTACAGCGAGCGGCAGAAGATGTACTAAAACCCAAAGATGCCACGGGAGAAGATGAGGATTCTAACAATCCACCCGGATTCTCCGACGAATCAGAAGAGGGAGAAACTTCTGTGCGTAGGAGTGGGAGATCAATGTCAGAACGCACAGAAGGCTGCTCGCCAAACTCTACAAGCCGCAAAGAGAATGATAACCGCATCAAGTCAGCCTATTAACTCTGTTGCAACTATGCAGATTGAACCTACAAAGATTTCATCAAGATTGCCGCAGATCAATCTGCCTTGCTTCAGTGGCGATTTCACTGCCTGGCTAAGCTTCATTGACTCATTTCGATTAACTGTCCATGACAATGACAAGCTGTCACTTATTCAGAAATTGATGTATCTCAAAGGTTGCTTGACGAGCCATGCTTCTAAGCTCATCATGAGCTTGGAGACGACAGAAAGCAACTATGAGGTAGCGCTTCAAATGCTACAGCTGAGATACAAAAACGATCGAGTCATCCTTCGAAAGCTTTTGTTACGGATTTACTGCACTTCGAACGGAGAATGTGTCTCAGCTTCGTCAGCTGCACTCAGTCTTCAATGAGACTTCTCAACGAAAATCTGGCGAACAGGAAGAAGTTGAGGATAACTGGTCGGACGATGAATTACTGTCACAGCAGCTAATATTGGATCCAGAGGAAGCGAGAAATAAATTTCAGGACAGTCCGACAGTGGTCACCTCTAAAGACACAATGCAGGGCGGTGGTCTTAATCTCGCAGTGAAAAGGGCCAAACATAACGACGCAGGACCCTTCACTAAGCCAACTAAAATAAAGTGGGGAGGGGGATCGAAGGATAAAACGCAACCAATTCAAAAACTGCCCGAAACAAGAGTGCTGCTGCTGCAGCAGAAGAAAATCAACCATCACCAGCGTGCTCGTCAAGTTCAGCGGTGGTCCCACTATCGACTTCAACGCCTCAAAATAATACAATCGCAAAACCAAAAGAAATATCACGTCAAACATCTCCGGAAACAATCCTGGATACGTTCAATAGTAAAGACTTAACACCAGCGGATTGGAACACAATGGCTGACCAAGTATTAGAAAGGGGAGTACAGCGAGCAGCAGAAGATATACTAAAACCCAAAGATGCCACGGGAGAAGATGAGGATTCTAACAATCCACCCGGATTCTCCGACGAATCAGAAGAGGTAGAAACTTCTGTGCGTAGAAAAGGGAGATCGAAGAAAGGACCCAGTAGATACGGCGATCCGGTTAAGCATTCAGTAAAACTGATCTCATCACAAAATGATATTTTGGATTTGAACAGGGCCGCATTAGAGGCATATCGAATTAAATTGGCAACATTTAAACCCGATGCGAAAAATTCGATTCAAACAAAATTTGGCCTCCTGGAGAAGCATCTTTTTAGAAGGAAATTCGGGAGCGAGGCGTTGGAAATTAATCGGTCCTGGAACGCAGAGTGGCGGGTTCCACTACAATTTAATGAAGAACAGAAGGAAAATGAAGAAATACATCAATAGAGACGTGCACAAAAACTTATTAAACTGAGTATTAAAACTCATATATATTATTAAAATTTTATAATGTAGTATAAAATTTATTGGTCGACCGGGGAATGTGGTACAGCAGCTGCTACTGCATTTGCAGTAACCGTACTATAGCCTTGGTCTCATTGTTCATATTGTTATCTACAACTATATTATTGTTATTAATTGTTCACGGTCAAATCATGTGTGACCTCTGTTTGATTTAAGAAGAGATTCAGTTCTCTCTGCTTTAGCCATAGCGTACAGTTAGCTACAGATCTAAAGCTAAATAAAAAGATGGTTTCGATATTAAATTAAACTCTTTGGAAACCAATATTGTTTTCACTATCAAAACCAACGAGGTTCTATTCGGTATCACACTACCAAAACTCTTGTGAACACTTTTTCAGGTTTACTGTTAAACAATTGAAATCAATCCAGTATTCTACCCGTTGTGTTCCTTTTTCGAATATAAATGTTCTCACTTAGCTTGAAAAACAATGTCGTATCATCCGCGTATAAAAATGTTTTTTTTTACTAACTTAAAGGAGATCTTTTGCGATGATGAAAAACAGTAACGGCTCTAGTTCTGATCCTTGCCGGACACCACAGTTCAAAAACTGCTTTTGAGATATTTCATTATCAATAGCAACAAAATGCTTACGGTTTGTTAAATAGCTTTCGAGAAGTTTCCTAGTGTTTTCGCCTTATTTCATATTTTTCCCTTTTGAGAATGAGCATTTTATGGTTTATTGTGTCAAATGCCTTCCTGAAGTCGATAAAAAATGTTTCACCAAAAAGACGTTCATCAAAAATTAAAAGAATGAATTCGGTAAATTCTACTAGTGCATCACTGCAACACTTTCTAGGCTGAAAACCGTATTGTTCCTGTCGAAATATACTATTTTCTTAAAGAAAATGAAAAGGCTACTCAAAATTTTTTGTCAAAAACCTTGCTTATAAAACTTAGTAAGCCTATTAAGCAACTGACTATTACCATCTTTATAAAGTGGCAGCACGTTGAGACTTCTTAAATCATGCTGGAAAAACTCCTTCACTTGAAGAACTATTGATTAAATTTGATATATGCTCGCTAATCACTGTTGATGAACTCTTGATTTTTGTCGAAGCCATTGCACTTGGACAGCTGGTGCTTTTTGACATTTCTGTACTGACCATAGAATATTGTCATTTAACGAAGAAAGAGTAACGGTTTCCTTGCAACTAGCCTCGAAGTGATCGCGTATTTTGCGCTAGTTGTTATATTTTCAGCAATGGCTCTTTTCAACTTCGTCAGATTGGAATTCAAGAGTGAATTCTAGTGATCAAATTATCTCTGCGTCTTTGCTTACTGTGAATGGAGTTTTTTTAGAAACAAAAGGAAATCGAACGGAATCGAGAGTACAATCAGTTTTTGGCTGCCAACCCCAAAAACAACCCCAAGTCCAGAAAACCTGAGGAAACAGGTCCAGGCAATCAGAACTCATACTTCCCCGACCCGGATAGAAACCACGAGGTTAGTCGTTGGCAGCTCTCATGTTAATGTGATGAAACCTTTTCAGCTATTCTCCACCCCCCCCCCCCCCCATTGCAAAAGGGGCAAAGTTTCTTTGTATGAACCGCAATGAATAATCTTAACCGTTGAATTGGTTCTATATAAGGGAGTCTATTCCTGAAATGGCACATTTAGCGATGTTTGGTTTGACGAGGTCACCATAATTTTGTAGCAATATGATCTTTATGCAATATTTTATAACGTTTTGACAAGAGGCGGAAAGTTTTTGTTGGTAATAACTTGTTCTTGTGCTATCTTTTATGCGTTATAACTTTTTCAACCATTCGTCGCAGTTTGTTGTCGTCCACGTCGTAATCCTTAGTGTTGATAGACTCATTTATTGACTCATCATGAATTATAAGCTTTTTACACTCTCACAAAAGAAAAGCTAAGTTTTTATCCAACACTGCATCTCTCAGTTGTTTTTTTTTTGCTCCATTTCAGTGCTATTTGTATTAAGAGTCGATGGACATAGTTAGTGTTATATAGGTCGCGATGATTTTTTTTCAGGAAAAGTCTTAAAGTTTGATCTGGGTCAAATTTTCTGTTTCACGGTTTTACTTTGATTTTCTTTAAGTTCAGTTCATTTTCTTTGTTAAAAGGAAGGCGAACTCCACTATCGAAAAGCGAAAGCGTAAAGGTCACGAAAAACGTGATCCACTTTCATTTTCAAAAGTGGATTTCAATTTTCAGATTTCCCAGCGAAATGACAATTTTACCGAAAAAAAAAACAGAAGATATAACCGAGAAAACTTTACCAGAAAAAATTCAAAACGTCTGCAATTTTTTTCTGTTTACTTGCGTTCATTGACTCTTTTCTAACTGTCTGTTTTCTATGTTTTGTTCTGCCAATTCAGTGATTTTTGTGTTTTGGTTAACAGTTTAATCAATAAAAATAACATCTTCGAACTTGTTTGAACTAGTGGAAAGCCTCTGTTAAGCTTCGTTTGAATTCTGCAGACAATACTGTTTAGTTTTTCCGTTATTTTAGGAATGCTCGCTCTAGCCAAATAAAGCTTTGCTTTGGAAAATTCGCTCAGCGAAAAAATGGCTAAAAATGCACCTGCTTAAATCCGTTGGATAACAATACCTGCACCAACTTGTCGTGCTTTAGCGTTTTTTTTATATTAAAAAATTTCTTATATTTTTCCGTTTTTTTAGCATATTAGCATAGTCTGTCTTTGGTTTCAAAATTGCACCGTATGCGACCAATTTGTTGTTTTTATTTTCAATTTGTTTATTGATTCTAGAGTAAATTGCGCATTTTTTTTTATTTTCAATTTGGTTATTTATTGTAGAATAAATTGCGAAATGAGAGAAATCGAGAGTATAACGAATATCTTCGACAGCGTGATGAGCAAGAAAGATTGAAGAAAAACCAACAACAACAAGGATCTCAGCCCCAGCAAAGATACCAACCCGCGCCCGTTGCCGCCCCTGTGCCTCCCGTAGCAATGCCCATTCCGGTCGCTTATCCTGGAGCGGGGGGTGCGGCGTATGCCTACTATGGTCCGCCGGTTGCTGCTGCTGCAGCTGTTCCGGATTACAATGAATTGTTGAGGCAGAAAATGGAGCTAGAACAGAAATACAGGTGAGCACTTCGAATCAGAGCTATTTTATAATTTGCATTTTTTTAAAATCATAGTATGTAGTTTATTATTGATGTGCTTTTTTGAACTAATGACGCCACTTTTTGTGTTTCAGTTTTTGTTAAGTTTTTGTTTTGTAATGGGAATTGTATATTGATTAAGTTACGTTGTAAAATTACAAACCCCAGCTGCTTGATCGCTAATACTTTACTGAAAATTAGAAAAGAAACGTTATATAGAGTTAAATCTTTACAGAGTTGGAATGAATTTATTATTGCAAAAATTTGATCTGGACGAGTGATATATCATATTAAAAAATTAAAGTCCGTGCAGTCGTCTTTTGATCGATATTTAAAACTTTCCAAAAAGTTTTTTCAATGAGAGTCGACAAAAACCGGTTGGAAGTTTTGTATCTTAAGCAAATTTAATGAAGAGTCCTTCTCCAACTTGGAGTGCGGTCTGTATTTAGACAACCGCGTATTAATACTCGTCAGTAAGCAGACAGATACTACATAAACCAATCAGAATCGAGATGAGAAAGCAAACTTACGAAATAAATAATTATTTGTTTCTTCCTTGTCTCGGTTCTGATTATAGTTAATAAAGTATTTGTATTTGACTGACGGGTATGAATACACGGTTGTCTAAATACTGCTACGTAACCCTCCAAATTGGTTTAATTTAAGCTAAATCTGAAGTGCCTTACTTGTATTAGTATACGTTAAAGAAGCCGTTGATAGTTTAAAGCAATAAACTGGAATTAGCCCAATAAAGCACAAATTGAATTCAACTCCTTAAATCACCCGCACAAAAAAGTTTGCTTTAAAAATTTTGGCTCTTTTTCATTCAATCCTACCCCCACATGTTAAAAAAAACAGTAAAGCACAAACAGATTAAAAAAATATTCACTGAACTGTCCATTTCGACATTAAACTGAATTTTGAAATAATCACGGTGTCATTTTTACATAATTATTATGTCATTTTTACTGCAGGCAGTCAAACGGTTTGCCCACTTCTCCTTCAGCTGCATACTACAACCAACAAAAGTGAAATTCCCTTTTTAAATTTGTAGATTCTGTCACTAGAACTAGATTTAATATTTGAATCAAAAATCAATCTAGAATCTGTCATTGCAATATCGTTTCATAGTTTAAGCCCAGTTTATCACCGTAACATTTGTAGCATCGAGTATAAGCAAAGTTATTTTCTGTTAATTTCTAAAATTGATAATAATTTTCTTAGCAATTGAGAAAATAATCTCTCCTGAAAATGTTGCCTCAAATAGATAAATATAGCTAGTCCTTGTGAATAGATGTATTTTAAACGCGTCTTTAGTCTAAATCAAGTCACATTTAGCAATAATTTTCCTTTCTTTACCAAAACGCAAAAATGATTATCACTAAACTTTCAAAACTGAAATTTGAATTTATCGATATCGGAAAAGTGTATTTTTCGATTTTTTCTAAAACCTCATGATTTTTTTGATGGTGAACAAACTAACTATTTGAACTCATATGTTTTTAACACCTTGCATCGAAAAGGCCCACATTCAGCCAAAATAACAGTCAGTCAAAAAATTATGAAAATAAAAAACTTTCAATTACGGGAGAGGAAAAGAGCAGAAAAAGTATTCAGCAACGTTCTGTTTCCCATAAACTGGTCTCGATTTTAAATTCATATACATCATCCTCTTATCTGATGATTTCCAACAAACTGCACTAAAACAAATTCAATTTGACATGACCTGATTTAATTTAATGTAAAAAAATCCGAACTTAAGGTCGCCTCAGACGGGCGGGGACGGTGGGGGCTATCAGCCGAGGAGTCAAGGTGCTCCGCGAAGGACATTGCCACCGGTGGATGACCTTGAAGCACGGATGCAGACTTACGACTTTGAACTGGGCAAGCGGAAACAGATTCTCAAGGACGACTCATCAAACTCACACCAATATGCTCAATCTCGAGCAGTCATCAATGATCCATCGTATGTACTTATAATTAATTGGTATATAAACCAGCCGAAGTATAAACCAGTCGAAGTATCAACCAGCCGAAAATACGTAATTGTTACTTAATACTTATGTAACAATTATGTTAAAGTTACTAAAATTACGCAAGTTCATTCATATGATGTAACTTTTCGGCTGGCTTATATACTCGGCACATTTTCGATTGGTTTATACTTCGGCTTGTTTATTTGCTCTCTATAATTAGTAGCGAAAAGTTTAAACTGACAGAGTTAATTAATAAGAGCAATCTGCAGATTGAGAATAAAAATTGAATGCAAGTTTGAGTTTTTAGACGACCTTAGCACGTAAATGTTGTCTGAAAAACTATAAAACTCAAAGTTTGAAAAAAGTTTTCTGAAAGGGGTCATTTGTTTCTTTGTTGAAATAAATTAATATGTTCCAACTTTTCGCTACTCATTATGCTATCAAAAACTTTCGACTGGCAAATTTTGGACTGGTAAATATAAAAGGGCAATTGAACTATTTTGGAAACATTTTGCATGCAAAAGCTAATTAATGAGACCTATTTTGGGTATCAAGGTTGTCTCGAAAAACCAAATTACATGCAAAATTCTACCCAAATGGAAAGATTGCTCTTTGTAATTAATTCTTTCTGTCCGACCTTTTTACAACTTTTTGATCAGTTTTATCAAGAGTTTTGATCTTGAATTTTTTGAGTTTTGAACTAATCGAGAACGTAGACTCTCTTTTTTTAATTTGATAATTTTTTTAAACTTTTTTTTCAATAATTGTTGGTTTGTTAACCGGGAATTATACTTTTATAAATGTTTGTTCCAATCACTGAGTTTGGGAGAAACTAAAGACCTTTTAGTACTGAATCGATTGAAATTTTAAAAGTTTCAAACAAGGTTCCTGTGCCGAGTAAAATTTGTTTGAAATTTTTGCTCTTTAGTCTAATTTCAATTTTTTCTGTTTTATATTTATGTTATGACTGGTGTTATAATAACACAAAGAAACAGTTTTCTAAGTCTGGAAAAACTTGTTTTTTTGAGCTTCACTTGCAGCTTATTTGACGTACTAGTTAGAGAAAAAATTACATTCACACTAAAAATAATTTGATTATAACAGACCTCTCAATTTAAATCTACTATAATTTGAACTATGTTTTTGCTATTAATTTGCACTCATTCATGCATTTTTTGCCTGAACAATCGCGCTTCCACTCAAAAAAATAACGGGAAACTTAGGACAAAAACTGATTTTAAAAACTTTGAAAAATTTTCGAATTTTTTTCGTCAATCAGTGGTTGGAACACTCTGTGCTACTTGTATAGCGACCGAATATCCTTGTAGCTAGCTGTCTTATAATGTTTCCATTTCTTAAATATATTTTGCTTTGTTGTAGTAACATGATGGACCCTGGCAGGTACATGGGTGGGGACACGTTTCTGGACGACCGACTCATGTCTCAGTTCGGAAGGAGGGGAGATGACCCGTCTCTCAGGTCAAAATCAAACTGAACTTTTTTCCTTTTTGCTAAGTTTCCTCCAGGAGTTGGGATTAAAGGAAGACGTAGCATTAGGCATGTAGACCATGAAAAGACTGCTCGTATCAGGGCGACGACCCGATTGTTCCGACTGCCCTTTAATGCCTTATTGAGTTGATTTCTGTTTTGACGAAGTTTTAGAAAAAGACAGAATTGATTTAAACCACAGGCTTTTTTATAGTCCAAAACGATTTTTGTAGCATATTAGAAACTAATTAATTAAAAACGTCTTGTAGGCCGGATTGATGAGCCGCGCAAGCGTTAATAGTGCGAAATATATCGCACATTAGTTAAATATTGCAATCAGGTACTAGACTTTTTTTCGTAAATTTTTTTGTGCACAGGACTTATTTCATAAGGATTTATCTCTAGTCGTACCTTATTTCATAATTAATTCACACTTTTTAGCGTTCCGGGTTTTTTTCTAGCCTGGAGGTTACGAATACACGCAGGACGCAAAAGTTCTTGGTTTGAAACTATCCAGGACCTGTTATTTTTTCAAACAGGAAATGTTCTGTTTGAAATAAAATTTTCAGCCAATTATTTGTCGGCTTATCTTTCGTCGACTTAGTTCCCACATCTTAGAATTGGTTTTTTTGCTGCGCGCATGTTTTGAATGGTGCTTTTACTGTTTGTAATTTTACTTGCTTTGATTAAGTGTTTCCTTTTTTTTGTTCCGGTTAAAAATTTTATTCGGCCCAAATTAATTTGGCCTATTTTTTATCGGCTTAAGAACCTAATTTTTGGTCGTTTTATGGGAAACACAACTTTTACGTTCCCCTCCGCATTTTTTAAAATTGATTGTATTTTTGTTTTTCGTTTTGTTGAAATTTCATTTTTTTCTTTTTTTGGCTTAGTAGGTTCTTGCTTGTTATATCGGCTTAGCTTCTTTTTGCGTCGTTTGATGCGCGAAAAAAGTTTTTGTGCGCCTGTGTGTGTGTGTGTGCTATGAGGGGAAGGGGACGTAAAGTTTTTAATTAGTTTTGAATTAAAAAAAAGTTCGGTATGAAGTGTTTCTGCTCCGTTATTTGGTTAATTTGTTTCTGCTCCGTTATTTGGTTAATTTGTTTCTGCTCCGTTATTTGGTTAAAATAACTTGATTAATTTGGTTCCGATGCTAATTTTGCATTCTATTGTTTGGGCATGTTTTTTTTTCACAACTCTCTCTATTCATTTTGATAGATCTAGTTGTATCGCAAGTGGTGGGAAGCTCAGCTTCGCCCTTGTGTCCAAATTTGTAACTTTCAAGCCTCGATTATTTTTGTAATTTTCTGACCGTTTGATTATTTTCTTTTCCAACAACTATTCGACACGGATTGAAGGACAGTCTGAACATTCAGGGTTTTGCCCTGATTCGAGTGGTCTTATTGTTCCGACTTTCGATACGAAAGTAACGGAATATTTGTGCTCGGGGTGGGTTTTTTTTTCTTCAGACAAATTTCGACTTTTTAACTAGCAATTTTTGACGGAATTTTTTTATATCATTCGAAAGGTATTGTTGTCTTGAGCTCAAATTTGAAAAGATATTTCACCTGTGATCATTTTTCGTAAAGTTATGGGGGTTTAAAGTTTGCCATTTTGGTCAATTTGGGACAATTAACGCGCGATATATTTCGAATTATTAACGCGTAAGCGGAGAGTTAATCCATCTTAGAAATCGTTCCAAATTGGTTAAAAGAAGCCTATTTGCCATAATTGGTTTGTTAGAAGGAGCGAAATCTATCCTTTTGTACTTTATATGGCGTGTGGGGGGATGATTTTTATTTTAAAAAATTCAAATTTTAGAAATTTTTTTTTATTTTGTTTTATTTCATTGAATTTTTTAATGTTATTACTGCTCCATAAACCTTAAAAGGCAGTCGGAACATTCAGGGCTTCGCCCTGATACGAGCAGTCTTGTTGCGTTTTTGTTCCAGTCGAGCTGTGATTTAGCTTAATTAACAGGTCAAGTCGTGCAAATATGTTCCTTAAATTACAGAAAAGTTTATATCAAGGGATTATAAGGGCATATATACTAAATAAGACATCCCTGGTTGAAAGTTTTTTGCACTGTGAAGACTTCAAGCTCCTAATCTTGCAAGCACCTTGCTTGAAAGCTAAAGCTGACATACACTTTTGTTTATTTCTCAGTACGTTGTTTCAATGGAGCGGGTGAAATCATTTTTGAATTTTTAGAAAAAATTATTCTAAACGATTCCCGAAAAACCTAAGATGTGGGCTTTGAACGGGGAAGAAAGTAGAATAAAATGGTCTCGTCCCCTGTTAGCACCTGTCACTTGTTCATATTTGTCACTAGTCACAACGCTTACAATTTGAAAGCTTAAAAATTTCGAATTAGGTTAAAAAATTTTGAAGTGAATTCCAAAAATGAAGATTCGTAACGCGTATTTTGATAAAAGTTTTGGTTTTTTAGTTAAATATTTTTCTTCATTAGGCTCGACAACTTGCCCACGTCATCGGCGCCCCAAATGCAGCAACCCGCTCCTAATCGCTTCGTTGGGGGGCAAGGAGGCTTCTCAGGTGGTGGAATGGGGGGTCCGTTGACTGCCCCTGGAGGTCCCCCAGATCCGAACATGGAGAAAAGGCGAAAACAACAGGAGTACAAACAACAGCTAGAAGCACAGATGAGCGCATCTGCCATGGCAAAGAGAATGTAAAACTTTACATTAAAACATCATATTGCTTAAAAAACCCTACAAAAGTGATTTACGTTTTTTGTTAAGTTTGCACCACGAAAACTTTGGCAAAAAGCAGCGAAATCATATTTTGATAGTTTAATAAGTTTGACATTTAAATTATTTGCTTCAGAGAAAAAGAGAAAAATCTTCAGATCAATCTAACAGGCGAGAAGAATCCATCAAAATTTGTAAGTCAATTAAGTGTGTATTTAATAATATTTTGAATAGTTTATTTTAAGACCAACTTTTAGGCTGTTTTTCGTGTTTTGGTGGACCGCAGAAAATGAAATTGATTTTTGTCAGCTTAAAAACAGTTTGGTTTTTTTGAAAATCACCCCCCTCCTTCTTGCAAAAAACCTAGAGTTGCGCATATTTTCTAATTAGTTTTCAGGTGATATAAATATTTTTTGAAATTTGAGCCAAAAAAACAGTCGTTTTTTTCTGTGCGTGCAAGTTTCTGAGAATTTATTAATGCTTTTTCCAACTGTCTGCTGGCTATGATTATATTTGAACATTAATGGTCTCTTTTCAGCCGAGTGAATTCATGCGCAATGTGGGAGTGGCACGTGATCCACAAGTGAACATGGCTCGTCATGCACAGTCAATGCCTCCTCCGGCGTCCCATGGACCTCTGCTGGACAAGTATGCGATGATTCATTTTGGTGGGAAATGGGCGAAAAAGAATCTTTGGTCTTGTTTCATAGCTATCGACGTAGTTTCAGCATAAAAAATCAGAATAAAATGATCCGGAAAGCAAATAAAAACGAGTATATCCAGTTGCTATGCGTGTTGCACAAAAGTTTCCGATCACACTGATGTTTTTTGAATAAGAAACGCGAAAACTAAGTGTTTCAAAAAAACATCTTTTCAATTTTTTCAGGTTTGTTTGCAGAAACTTTTGAAATTTTTTGATAAGCCGGAGGCGCAAACTGAAGCTTCAATAACTTATCTGTAATCAGCCTAATTAGCGAATGAAAATTTTGTCACCTTTTTTGTTTTATGTTTAACAAATTGTTTTTCTGCGTTCAACAAAACCCTTGTAATGACCTTTTTTGCTACGTTTTTCAGCGTAAAAGTTTCCAAAAGTTCTTGGCTCTTTTTGAAAGATTTTGACGAAAAAATGTTTTTTTTTGGCGCGCACTTCTCTCCCACAATTTTTATCCATTGGCACTAAAGTTGTCTTTAAAAAAGTTAATGTATTTTGTTTTGTTCTCTAATGCAACTGTATTGTTTCATTTCAGACCTCTTGACATGTGGGCGACTGGTGTTTCCGGAGGCATGGGAGGGTTGGGTCCGACCGCGTATGACCCCAACTACCAATACTACGCCACTGCAGACCCCCTTGATCCCATGATGGTCCCAAGTAAGTACAAAATGAGCAGAAAGAAAATTAAGAGAACATTACCATAATTATATAGTTCAAACAGAGAAAATTGAGTTCGTACTATTTATTTTTCAACTAATTATTTATTTGATACATCTGCATACTTTTGCTAAATGAACGGTTTTTAGTCCCAGCCTGACCAGTCTAGTAACAAAACACTATAGCCCCACTCCCTGACCCCACACAGGGATTTTACTTGTTAGGGGCTGTATTTTGCTAAAAGCTATAATGTAAATTACCCTGGTTTTGTTTTCAAATTTATTAGGAATATACAGAACGAAAAAAAAACATGTTAAGTTAGAGTGAATTTAAACAAAATATGTGTTTAGACTCCCTCGGCGGAATGGATATGTAAGTCTACGATTCACTTTTCGCGTCATTATATTTTTTCTTACTAACCACCTATCTCTTGTCTGATTTAACCTCTAATTCAAGGTCTAGACATAACCCTGTAAATGACGTCATGTCAAGGAGTCCGAGAAAGCAACAGCCATATAAGGAAATTCCGCCTTTGTTCGGGACCGCATCGGAATCTTTGCTCGACCGACCTATGAATCTGAACAACTCAAATCATGGAATGCTTAACAGTTCTCATTTTAACCTCAATATTAACCAGAATAACCCGCATTTCAACAGTTCTGCGCCAGCTGCTGTTAATAACCATCCTGTACCTAACAATAATTTAGGCTACCAGCCTAGTTTGGGCAAATTGGGGAGTTCTGGCGGGCAAAATGGACTGAAGTCGAGTTCTTACTCTGTCATCAATCCCAAAAATATTATTTCGTTAGTCCCTTTACTAACTTAAATTACTTATCTTAAATGGCAATAAAACAGGATCTACTTAGCAATCGCCCCCCCCCCTCCCCCTCTGTATTGTATCTGCTAAAGAATTGCTACCCATTTATATAAAAGCAGTAATTTAGCACTAGAGCTTTTCATTTAAAGTTCGAATTTTGATGCATTCTGATTGGGCGAAAATTCGACTAGCTTAATCTACTTAACAATTACCCCCTTCTTGAAAGAGGGAAGGGGGTGGTTGGGGGGAATCGTTAAGCAATTATGTATGTTACTGAATAACACTATGCGTACCCACACCGAACGCCCATGGATTTTAATCGATTATTATCCATTTCAGATGTAAAAATCAGACCACGAAATCGATTATATATATATGATCTTTGCAATATACTTTTTACAAAAAAAAAATAGATCAAAATTGATTAAAGTCCTTCATTTTTGGAACTGAAATAGATTATTTTAACAAGACAATCCGTTATCTTCTAATATTTTAGGAATGAAAATCCATTATAATCGATTATAATCCATTTACTTTTTTGTTCGAAGTTGCAATATTTTTGCAAGAAATTTTTTGCCACGTGTACTACAGTTTTGGCAAGCAAAAAAAATAAAAATTGAAATTTGTTGAACCGACCCCATCCCCATGTTTGCTAAAATTTACCTACCTCACTACCCCTTTCCCTCTTTTACCACGCCCCCCCCCCCCCCCCCCCCCACAGTTTACCCCCCATCAGTAGTGTTGTGGTTGGGGGAAAACTAGACGGGGGTTGGTTGGGGTAAGCTAGAGGGGGTGGTAAAAAGAGGTTGGGAAAAATAATTAAAATGTTAAAATGTTATGAATTGAGAAAAAAAAAGATATATAAAATCTAATGTGGACTATAACCATTTAGAAAACGCAATTCGTAGCAACTGCGCTAAACACGAAATGAGATAACTTCGAAACAGATTTGTAAATTTTATCAATAACCTCTCAAAATGTTGAAATCGATTATAGTGGATTATGTTGAAATAAAAAATATTACGAATATAATTCGTTTTTAATGGATTATAACTATTTTTCTGCAATTTTGTAGGTACTAACTATAAAATGACAATATAATAGATAATGATCCATGAGTATTGCATAATAATGGTTTGTGCTTTATGATACTTTGAATGTAGTATTAAGGTCTTACCTTGTTAATTTTTGCTTTGACTCAAAATTTTTGGTCAAACTATGTTGTTAAAGATTTTTAAAAAGTACTTCTTTGCTTCAATTGGTTTGTGCTTGAAAAAAACAACAATTGTTTTCGTGGTCTTCAAAAAAAAACTTCAAAACAAAACAATTCATTCCATCTGCTACTCATGCAGCCCCCGAGGGAATAACTCGTATGAGTCCAAAATGAGAGGCTCCAATGACTTCGACACCACTGCCGATTCCGAGGGGGGAGGGGGATTCTACTCACACTTCGACTTCGGAAAAGACAGAAGGTCTTAAAGACATGTCGCAACCCACCATTTAGCATTTATTTCGCATGAATCATACCGATTTCTTCATTTGTAGCCAGTTTTTTGTATGCTTATTGTATCACTTTAGTTTTCATTTTTATCACCTTTGCCAAACAAAAAATTTGTAGTTATCCACCAGTATTTAGGATAATCACCCCTTTGATGCGTTGGAATTTTCGTTTGATGTTTTGTTTCTTGTTTTTGTTTTCTGTTATTTTGACCTTCTCAAGCTTCGAATAGGCAGTACTTTTGTAAGAGAATAGTCCTCAATGCACTTGATTGCAAATTAAGCAGCTCAATTTTAACAATGACGGGTCTCTTTCGTTATATGGCCCAAAATTGACAGAATTGTTGACCGATTTTCTGATTTTAAAGAAAATCCAGGTTTTCTGTCGCTGGCTGTAATTTTAACAAATCTGATTCGACCATTATAATCATATTTTTAAACTATGAAAAGTATCTGTTTTGGGCCGTATAACAGAAAAGACCCGCAATGGCTTAAAAAAACAGTTTATTGGTTTATGTTTTGTAGATTTTCATGTTGGAAAAATTTTAGGTCCAATATGCACCAGCAGGTGAGCTCTGGGGGGAACAATTACCAGGCGGACTTGCTGAATCAGATGAGAGAGAAACAGGATAGACAGTACAGAAACAAAATGGAACAGGAAAGGTAAACAAAGGAGAGACATTTTGAGCACATAGGCGAAGCGGAACTTCGCACTGCTTGTGATACAAAAGATTACTTTCTGTTAAGAAAAAAGAACTACATGTAGAAAAAGATCCAATACAAGGCCAACGTTTTGGTTTTTAAGAGTCGATAAACGTAGTTCAGGCTCTTGTATAGGTCGTGATGAATTTTTTTTTTCGCTTCTTTCAGGAAAAGTCTTAAAATTTGTTCAGTCTCAAATCAAATTTACTTTTCGCGTTTTGACTTTTGATTCATTTTTGCAAACTCAACTATAGAACAGCGTGATTGACTTGTAGTTTTGAAGGTTGAATTTAGTTTTCAGATTTCCCAGCGAAATAAAAATTTAACTTATTTTTCCAGTTTTCTCAAATTGAGTTAATGTTATCAAAAAAAGTGCCAATCATAAAATGTTTCAGAAATTCGAAAAAATTAAGATTTGGTTCAAAAAACAAGTTAACTTGCGTGCATTGACTCTTTTCCAACTGTCTGTTGGCTATGTTTTTTTATCCAGTTGATTCGGCAGTCAAATATTTAATCAGGTGAAATTGAGATTTCCAATTTCACTTGGTATTTTGCAACCAAGGGATTATTGTTCCGACTTTTGAAGAAAACGGAATATTTATTCTCGGTGTGGTTTTTTTTATTCAGTCAATTTTCACCGATCAAAAATGATAACCAAAGTTTTTTATTGCCCATTGAAGTTATCGACTTCCTGAGTTCAAATGTAAAATGATATTTCACCTCCGATTATTTTTTTGTTAAGTTCTGGGGGTTTGAAAATTGCCAAATTTCCCATGTTTATTCAAGAGTTTATTCATAATGCTGAGAGCGTAACGCGAATTGTTTATGAGTTGCGGTTTATCCCGCACAACAAAATCGTTCCAAAAATTGAATTGGGGCTGGCTAATTGGTCGTTTTAACTTCGTACGACTCAAATTTTTACACATAGATATTGTCCAAAATGTATAGGTTTTCAATATTTTTTTCCGCAGAAACTATTCGATATGAGTTAAAGGACAGTCGGATCATTCAGGGTTTTGCCCTGATATACGAGCAGTCTTGTTACGTAATGTTAAGCAGGTCTGAGTTTGCGGTGTGAACCAAAGCTTTCGTTCCACTCTGTGAAGTCCACCTTTTCACACATCATCAAAACCTTTGAAAAGTCGCAAAAACAACAGACAAGCAACGCACAAAATGTATTGTTTATTAAATTTAGTGGTACCTAAAATTTTTTGAGACCATTAAAAGGGCCATTGGAACAATCGGGGGTCTTTGTTGCGCTTCACAGGAGATTATCTTTGATATAAGTTTGTGAACATTTGACCCGGTATAATTAGCCTAATTTTTGATTGACTAAAAGGCGCCAAGTTGAAAGTTGACATTTTGAGGCCGAACTGTGTATTTTGCGAATTTTAAGTGAATTTCGCAAGAAGGACTGTGTTTTTGTTTCTCATTTGTTCTTTCGTTTCCTTTGATTGTTCCGACAAAATTTTCACAAGTTTAAAGACTTGTCTTTGGATTCCAGAGACCTACTAACTCGAAATTGTGCACCTATCCAGTGCAGTGTGGCCTCGTAATGGATCCATTTTGCTGTTAAATTGTTGCCAAATTTTGAGTCGAATTTCGCAAGACATGTTGCGCCATAATAATCTTGGTTATTTTATTACCATTTTTCGGTCTTATCATTTTTGTCTCAATTGATATTTTCTAATTTTTTCCGCGTGCTTGTGTTAGGTGGGAACGCAAGAAAGATGCCGAGGAACAGTACTTCCCCTTCGGAAAGGGAGGAGGAGGCGCACCCCTGAAGGACGCTGATGGAAAAATCATAGGTAAGACCATCAATTCTTTTTTGAAGGTTATTTTAATTGTTCCTCAAAATTTTGTGTGATTCACTTATTGAAGAACACGCATTAATTCATTTGAAAAGTATGAATCCTATTTTTTAATGAAGAAAAAATTTAGTAGTCGTGTCTAAGAAATTTTCAGTTTCCCAAGTGAAGTTTTTTCTTAAGCATAAAGTTATGCTCGAACATTTGTAAGGGTTTTTTTTCGGAAAAATGACAGTTGCTTTATTTAGCCGATTTGCGCTCAAGGCGCAACCATCAAGCTGTTGGTAATACTAACAGTAGTGGTCTTAATGAGTCACTTAATAACGGAGTTTCAACCGGCAAAGAGCAGACATCAAAAGCAGGTGGTTACGTAATCTAATGACGTAAAGCAGGTGGTTACGTAATCTAATGACGGAAGAGTGATTGCAAGACATCTGTAGTTTTATCTATTCAATTTATCTTTTCTGCACATGAAATTGACTTTAGTTAACTTCAAAGTAGACCTTAGTAAACTCTCAAATGCTATTATTTGTATCAGTATATCAAAAAAATATCGAAAAAACTGCATCAAATAATAGACAATTGGGCTAGAAAGATGTCAATTAGCCTTTTTTGCAACTGGTATCTTGCTCGCCCAAAAACAAATATTTATTTTTTTCATTACAAGTAAGATAGCTATGTATGGGTCCTTAAAATTGTCCTTTGCAATCAAAAATAAGAATTAAATCTTCGAAAACAGCATGCCGTTGTTTAGTTATCACAAAAATGGTACGGCCGAGCCCATCCTTATCACTTGGTCATTTAGGGACTATCTTGTATACCTGAAGTTGTTTTTTAACATGTTGATAACCTTTGGCTATTATAGTCAGACCAACTGGAATAGGCAAGTTTTGCTTGGAGTATTTCATTCATCTAAACATGTGATTGCTACGCGTGAATTTGGCTGAATTCAAAAGTTTTGTATTTGTGTGGTTTGAATTTGCTCTGAGCAAGATCTAAAATACCAATCGTCTGATTGTTTCTAGATATTTTGCATGCACATTTTTATGATTCACAATCTGAAAGTATCAAAAACTACATAATTTTTCAGCCGACTTACGCGAATTGCATCACATAGCCGAGACGAGCAAACAGCCGAATGTGAACCACAATTACCATGGCCAACTCACCGAAGTCACCTCGTCTCGTCCGAATGACTTCGGCGGCGGAGTGTCGGCGCGAGACCCGACTGCACCACAGCATGCGAGGGGAAGAGTGTTCAATGATGCACCTGTTGTAAGTTTCAGCTATATTAGTTGTTGATTACACTAGCAAACGCTTTTGTGATAATAAGAGTTTCCTTAGCAGACTTTTTTCCTACCCAACTCGCATAAATTATTCCTCAACAAAATTGGTCAATTTCAACATCGGTGCACTGCTCTTTGATGCATCGGTTTTAAGAACTTTATGTGATTATATAGAATCATGTGTTTTATCCGCTTTATTAATGGCTGATGTTTGGATGACCTTTCGGCGGAATAACTCAATTGTGCAAACAGTATCCTCTAACTCTAAAAATCGAGGGTTCGGAATTTGAAGTTTATTTCAAAACTTAAGTCTTTTTTCTGTTTCGTTGCATTCATTGACTCTTCTACAACTGTCTGTTGGCTATGTTTTCTATTTTTCAAAGCTATTTTTGTTTATCTTTGTATTATGCTGCAATTATCAAGCCTTTTTTGTTTTTTTTTGCTTGAGCTTATTAATTGCAGCTTCTATTCTGTGTATTTGATTTGAATTTTTGTGAAATAGCAACATTTACCTAATTGTATACCAAGTTACTTATTGGTGTTCGAATTTCTGAGTATAATATTTGAACCAGCTCGGGCGGTTTGGGCGGACGCCCCTCCCTCAGGAATTCGACCCCCTTACCAACCCTTTTTTGAGTTCTGGAAGCGCTTGGAAAATGAATTTGCTCGTTCTAAAATCCATAGCTTTTTTTCGTTTTTGAACTAAAACAATATACGGCTAGGACACGGGGTTGGTATGATAACATGGGTTGTTTTTACTCAGAATTGTCGATATTATTTAGAACATGGAATATGAAGGTCGGTCAATCAAACTCGGTTGATGCCAAATCCGGTCGGTTTGATACGTTCAAATCCATCTTCCAGTTAGCAATTGAAGCCTTCATTGAAGCTTTAATACCCTCTGAAAATATCGATGCATTGTGCTCAAGAGTAAAAAATTATCTTACCTATATTAATTTTCTTGAAGTAATTAAGATTTGAAACTTTCAGTTTTGGTCTACTTTCACGTTATATTGCCAGATAGTTTAATAATTTTATGACTAACGGACGTCATATAGACCATAGATTGGTTTGTTTCAGAACAACTATTTTAGTTCGATTTTTGCACCCTGTCTAAGTTTGCAAAATCTTTATTCATAACATTTATAAGTGTAAAAGAACGAAGTGATTTTGTCTTATATGGTCTTTATTGTTTTACCTTTGCGGTTACCAAGAGTGATGTAACTGGGTACCAGAGTTTTTCCCATTAAAAACTTGTTCACATGGTTACTCAAAGTGGTTGTCATCTCCAATTCTGTAATTTCGTCGATTAAAAGACAAATTTAAAGCATGCCTGAATTTCAATACCCATTGTTTTTGAAGTTTATTTTTTACATTTGTTTTAATTTACCTACTCTGTGTTGTTTGATGAGCAAAAGAAGGCTGTTATCTAAAAATTTTGAGGGTAGACTTTCTAATTTTTTTTGAGAAAATAAGTTTCTTATGACATTTTTTCCTGCTAAATAAGTGTCTGCTCAAGTATTGTCCGCTTTGTTGTCGCCCCTCTTTCTACGTTTTTTTTTTCGATGCTCAATTAGTTTTAAATTGTCGTACTTTGCACGTTTGTTCTTAGAAGGAAGATTTATGAAGACGAAATCACGACAAAAATTTCGAAAGAACATGTTTTTCCCGCAGATTTGTCTCTTAATCTATTGATTTTTTTGCCATATTGTTTTTGTTTTGTATCGCAAGTGATGCAAAGCTTCGCTTCGTCTCTGTGTCTTATGTCTGTTTTCTTTTTAAGGAAAATTCTTAAAATGCTCTAATAACTACAGAAGTGCAATCATAAGTTTTAATGCATTAATGACTGCACTTCTATATAAATGAGATTCAATTCCTATTCATCTGCTAAAAATTGGTTAAATTGCACTCTCCAGTTAAGAAAACGGAAATGACGCGAATAAGCGTGAACGACTTTTCGTTTCGAAAAGGGATTTTAATTTTTATATTTCCCAACGGAATGAAAAATTAACTCATTGATCCAGTTTTTTAAATAGGATTAAATTTATCCAAAAGTGTCAATCATAAATTGTTTTGGAAAATCAAGTTTCGACATTTGAAAAATGTTTCAAAATTTTAAATCCGTTTTTTTTTTCGGTTTTTTTGTTTATTTTTGCCAACCTTCTGTTGAATCTTTGCTTAGATGTTTTTTTGTTTTCAAGCTTGAAAATGGAATTAGGCAGATAACTGCAATAGTTTGACAGCCCATTGCAGCGTTTGCACAAATGAAGTTTTTTTATAGTACTTAATTGGCAATTTCCCATATGTCTTAAAGTCCCAAAATTTTTGTTCTTGAATTCTGATTGGCTGAAAAATGCGCCAACGGATTTAACTGTTTATAGTTCAACAGCATAAAAACAAATGGCTTAGTAGTTACCGCTGCAGTCGCCTCAACGTGTTGTGAGCTTGCCAAAAGACGGTAGGAATCTATACAAAATTCAGAACCGGTTGTTGCTGCGGAGTATTTACGCGTGCCCATCGATGACCTTAAACCGAGAGTCGGCTGAAGCAGTCTCTGACTTATTGCAAAGATTTGAGTTTTATGCGACTGCTTTTTTGGGATCTATGGAACTGATTTTTCATTTAACTACCCATGAATACGCCCCATTTGAGCGATTATAATGATTTTAAAAAATAGTTAATGCATTGTGTGTTAATGTATCGAGGAAAAAGGAAACCTTTCAAAAAAAATACAAATTTTGCGAAACCTTCCAAAGCCGATCTGAATGAAAGCTTAGCAAATAAGTACATTTCTGGATTTTGTTTCTTCTCAAAAAGGCGCCACAAGAAACTTCAAAAATAAGTTTTTATGGAGTAAAATCAAGCGTTTACTTTTTATTTCCTTATTATAGACCTGCTCGTTCGCTTTATTCTCTCGAAATTAGGCCAAAATCAAAACTTTTAAACCGTTTTTTTTCTACGCCGAGGAAGTTTTTTTCAGATTTTTTTCTTGTATGGTATGGCACGACTGCAAGGGCTGCTTTAAAATGATATATCACTCGACCCTTTCCGACGATTGCTTGGGGTATCTGATTTCGTGTAAAAACTAAAACACCCACACCCCCCCCTCTCCCCCCCCCCCCCCCAATTCAAACTTCTTCGCAACTTTCAGTGGTCGTTACAAAAAGAGCCAATTAATTGAGCTGTCGGAGTACCTTTTAATGAATTTGCTTTAGTTTTTGTAATTAAATATAGTACAAAACTCTTTTCAGTATTTTTTCACCAGTCTTCAATCTGGTGTCAAAATTTCAGTTTCAAAAGTTCAAAGACCCAACTAATAGTTAGCATTGGGTGTTTATTTTAAATACCCTGTACATCATGTCATCGAAAATTTTCTAAATTTAAAATAAGCACTTTAAATTATATCAGAAATAGTCTTTAAGAATTTAATAACTTTTGTAAATGGAATTTTTTTCATTTTATAAAGTTTTGTATAAATTATCCACTTTTTTATTTCGATCTGCGCTTTTTAGAGGCATCAAAGTTCATAAGCTCTGAAGTTTTGTTTATTCAGATGCACATGGAGCAATCTGTGCTTTAACAACTCGACTTTCTAAACCTTTCAGATCTTGAGAAAAGCTTGTTTGTTGAGAAAGCAATTTAACTCGATGTTTGGGAAAACACTTCCAATTTAAAAAATCAATCAAAAAGATTCCAAAAATTTTGTCCTGTCTGTGATGCGTGGCAAAAAAAAACTTTCAATAAAAAAAACAAAAAGCTTACAAAAATTTAATCTTGTCTGTGATTTTTGACAAAAAAATCCCATAATAACTCAAAAACCTCCAAATTTTTGTCTTGTCTATGCGATGCTAAAGAATTTTTTTAAAATCCTAAAATAATGCCTTGTTCTGGGATATTTGAAAAAAATATCCCAAAATTTTTTTTTCCGAATTAGTAAACTGGTATTTATTGTTTCTGTTGCGCTATAGTCCAAGCAGCAGTTCTCGCAGCAGGAGCAGTACAAGCTGGACTTGAAGAGGCAGATAGAGGAGAGGAACCGGGTGAAGGAGGAGGAGCGGAAGCGACAGGCGGATGAGGATGCGCGGGAGGAGCAGAAGATCAAAGCACAGATGGCCCAGATCCAGGCAGAGTACGACAAGGAGCAGGAGAAGATCAGAAAGAAGGCCGAGGAGGTTAGATGTGTTGTTTTTGTATTTATTGATACTTGAAATTGTACTTGAACTTGTAATCAATTGTTCTTATTTTTGAAATAGCATTTACCCGAAATTTAATTTGAAAAAAAAACAATTGAAATGCCTAAAAAACTGACATTGACAAAAACCAAACGGAAAAAAATAAGAATGTTGAGGTGAAAATGATGTTTTTTTTTGTATTTTTGATACTTTTTTGTTGTGATGATTTTTGATGATTTTTTTGAGGCCTGAAATAAAATGAAAAAACAATTGACAGTCCTAAAAAACTGACAATCCTGTTTGTTATTATGTTTATTCATACTTTTTTTATTGTCATATTAATTTGATATTTTTCCAGCCTGCGCAGTTGAAAAAAAAAGCAATTTAAAGATCTAAAAATCTTAAGTTCAGTGAATGCACCTTCAAGCGTACCATGTTTTATTCGCGTATGTAATTTGGGGCTGTTCGGTTAAAATCGATGGTTTAGTAATGAATTCTTAAATGCTTTTGGGCTCTCTTCTCAGGCTGTGCGGTTAGAATAGATAGTTGCCTAATAAATTCTTCTGAGGATGATCCGAATCCTCTTCTGTGCTAAATGATCTTTTTCGTTTCTTTGTTTTACAGCAGCAAAAGAAGAACGATGAGTTGCGTGTGGCGGCGGAGGAGAAGCGACTGGCAGTGGACCGGGCCAGGAAGGAGGAGGAGGAGAAGCAGGCTGACGAGAGGAGGAGAGAGATGGAGAGGGAGTTGGAGGAACGCAGGAGACAACAGCAGCAGCATGACAAACCGGTCAGTTGATACATTCATACTTCGGATGTCATATGCCACAGATCGGGCGATCGAAACTTGATCGAGTCCTCTTTTTTTCTACTGATTCTTTTTAAAATGGGGCGAAAAACTTGGTATTCATTAGGTCGGGCACCAAAGATTGAGAGGTTAAATCTTGATTGGGTCGCGATGTTCGAAGAGAAAAGAGGGGGACTAGGTTTTCTTTGCGTCACACAACATAGGCCCGGTATTGAAGCTGTGTTTCTTTTTATTACCGGGCCATTTTTTATTACCATTTATCATCCGTTGTTATCATCGCGTCGCATACCACGACTTGCTTCGGATGCGATAATAAAAATATTATTTCAATGATTTATCAATTTGTAACTTTAATTCATCAAATCTGGTTTCTTTTTTCAGAAGTCCCCGCCTGTACCAGCGCAGCAGCAGCAGCAGCAGAATACCGCCCCTCCCCCCTCCAACAGGGCCCCTCCCCCAACTGTGCAGCCAAAACCAGCTCCACCCACGGTGAGAACATAAATTATGTTATTTGTATGCAGTAACAATATTCACAGTCTCGATTGGATTAAAAGCCTGCCTTTAAAAGTTATCAATTGAAATCAATGATTATTCCGACCATTGGCTGTGTTTTAGTTTTTTCTTTTTTTTCTTTTTCACACAAAATCAGGTATTGCAAATAATCTTCGGAATGGGTTAAATGATATATCATATTAAAGCCTTTTCAGTCGTGATTCGAACAACATTTTAAAAATTTCAAAACATTTTTCTGATGTCGAGAAAAATCGTTTTGAAATTTTTGATTTTTTCGTCTAATTTCGCGAAAGTAATGCGAGCGAGCAGGCTCACAATAGCTTCTTTATGCTTAACTTAAACCGTAAAAATTTAATTTTACTCGAGTAAAGTTACATTATGGTGCCATTTTGGGAATCAAAAGTTCAAAAAGCTTCTGCAAAAGAAATTGAGAAAAAATTCAACGTTTTTTAAACTTATTTATTTTTTTGTTCTTTTTCATTTTTTTTACAAAAACTGTTGTGTATTTTGTTTATTGTTCCGACCTTCGCAGAAAACGGAGCATTTATGCTTGGTGTTGTTTTTTTTTGTTCAGTTAATTTTGGCCATTGAAATAATAATTTTTTTAAAAAAATTATACCCTATTGAAGATATTGTTTACCTGGAATCAAATATAAAAGGATTTTTACCTCCGATTATTATTTAGAGAGTAAAGTTAATTTTTGGAGTTTTTTTGCGCCATTTTCGGAATCAAAAATTCAAAAAGCTTCTGCAAAAAAAATCAAAGGTTTTTAAACTTATTTATTTTTTTGTTCTTCTAGTCAGTTTTCTACAAAAAATGTTGTCTATTTTGCTTATTGTTACGACTTTCGAAAAAACAGAGCGTTTATGTTTGGTGTGGTTTTTTTGTTCAGTCAGCTTTCGGCCATCAAAACAAGAGTTTTTAATCAAATTTAAAAAGACATTTTTACCTCCAATTATTTTTTGCAAAAGCGTGACCTTTTAAAAATTGCCCATTTGACCAGGCTCTGGACTAATTTATGCGCGCTTTGAAGTTTTTATACATAATGCTGAAAGCGCAACGCGAATTATCTATGCGTGGCACTTTATCCCGCTCAACAACATGGTTCTAGATTTGAGTGAGGCTAACTAATTCGTCGTACTAGGTTCGTAAGACTCAATTTTTCACACTTTGTTTTTGATATTGTCGAAAATTTATAGTTTTGATATTTTTTCCCAAAAACTATTCGATATGGATTAATGGGTGTCAGAGCATTCAGGGTTTTGCCCTGATATATGAGCAGTCTTGTTTTACTATGACTGCGAATATGCTTTAGTTTTTGTTTGTCGCTCAGATTCTTTAATCAAATCACGCAGAAAAAAAACTACACTGATTTGAAAAGAAAACTTTTCATTCTCCTCTGCTATTTGCACAGTAATCGGCTATCCTTGTTCCTTATTATCAATCGTTATTTTAAGTTTGATGAATGGTACAAAGTTTTCACTCAAAAGATTGTGCTATTACATTTCATTCGATCACTATGACGACAGCTTTACAATAATTTGAACAAGAGTTTTTTTTTTTCATTTAAAAATTTTCAAAAAGGGTGTTTCAGCCCTGAGTCTGTTTTTACCCAGAATAATGTCCGTTCAACCCAAAATTATATCTGTTTTCGCTCGGAATATTGTCTGTTTTCTTCCAAAATAATGTCTGTTTTCGCCCAAAATAATGTCAGATTTCCCCCAAAAGCTTCACCGTTATGTTCTATCAGAGTGGTACATGTGATTGCATAATATTTATGCAATCTAACATCTAAGAGTGGTACATGTGATTGCAAATTAGTTATGCAATCTAACACCTAAGAGTGGTACAAGTGATTGCATAATAGTTATGCAATCTAACATCGCACACTGTCATTAGTTAAGTTGATTATAAATTAATTTTAATAACTTAGTTATCGTGTTTTTTGGCTGCTTTCCAGAGAAATATGGAATCTCCGCCTGTACCGGCTCTGAGAAAGAAACTGAACGGATCGAATCCTCTTTCAAACTTCCCATTTTAGAACTTTCATCTTTTAGAACTTTGTGGAACTTTGCACAATTTCAGTTAGATGTAATTTTGCTCTTCTAATGTTCTTTGTTGATAATTTGCTTAATGATGGTTATTAGGATTAGTTGTACCATTCTGATAGAATTAATTGAAAATCAAATATTCAAATTAAAATTCAGGTTTGAATTTATTTTGCCAAAATTGTATTTTTTGCGCACATGGTTCAAATTTTTTTTAGTGCGACCTCGTCTTTTTTGTGATAGGGTTTTCGAATATCAGCAAATTAAAATGACTCACTTTTCAGGGAAACTTATTTCTCCTTTCGCCAGAGCCCTCACTTGAAAAAGCATATTTGCCCCCCGAGTCAAATCGTGAAGATTCTTTCGCTGAAATACAGGCGGCGCCTCTCAAAAATGTCTCCGCGATCAGAGCCCCGGCGACAATAGATGAGATATTTTCAAATGATGGTTCGCCTGTGTTCGGCGAAAAAAGTCCGGCGCTTGATCCAGCGTACACACCAGCTTGTGAAGAACCTGTAAATTTTACGAGTTGTAGGGTGATAGTGTGTGTTGTATCATGACCCTGAGAGAAGAGATTTAATTTGCAAAAAGAGCATGACATTATTCCATTTTTTGTCTACCAAATTTGCCTTAAGGCCATTTTTTGCGTGTTGATTCATAGTTAATGCCCAAATTGTTGGCAATATCGGTGACGTTGAGCAGTTTAATTGGTCAATAGCTTTCTAGGGTAAATAGTTTTTTTGGACACAATTTTTAAAGTAGAAATCAGTGAAACACAGAAATCCGACGTCAAAATGAGCAGTTTTAGGTTAATAAACTTCGTTCAGATTCGTTGGCCGAAAAAGATTTTGCTAACATTTTGGCATTAACTATAATAACTGCTTATCAAAGATGTCCATAAATCATTTAGCCCAGGCCTATGCGAAACGTTACTGCAAACGGGATTCAGAAACTAGAGCGTTGCTTATGCATGACGTAATCCCACCAATTTTCTCGCCTCTCAAAACTAATTAACAAATCTCTCATTTCTTTTTTTAAATAACAGATTTTATGTATGGTCTTTAAGAAAAAAATTGAGGTTGGTTTTTATTAGGACGTGTTCTTTTTTTCTAAAATTTTCTCGTTTGAAAGTGCTTTTGGCTATTTTCTAGACTTGACCACCGAATAATTTCAATTTCGTATTTTGACTCTTCAATTTTCTAGCATCAAGTGATTTCCAGCATTTCTTCTTTCGCGTTCTTTGTAGTGGTGTCGGATTTTGTTCTTTTCCCAGTTTAAAATCTGATCTGTCATCTGTTTAGGAGCCAGTGTCACCGGACATGCCCCCCTCGCACCCTGTGAGGCTGACTAAAAACAAAACAAATCCAGAACGAGGTATGTATAATATAAGATGTCAATTGGATAAGTTACCTCAAAAAAAATGCCAATTTTTTTCAAGACTTTCCGAGAAAGTGTGCTATATGAGTACCTTCTGGGAAATGTTTTTTTTGATAAGTAAAATGGCCTTTGAAAGACTTTCAGCTGAGAAAACGTGGTTTCAAATTATCGAAGCTCAAATTGTAAATTATTATTTGGAGTTAATATTTAAAATAACAAGACTGCTCGTATCAGGGCGAAGCCTTGACTGTTTTGACTGCCTTTTAAGGTTTTATGGAGCAGTATGAACATCAAAAAATTAAATGTAATAAATTAAAATGAATATTTTTTTTTCTAAATTTTGATATTTTTTTAATGAAAATCATCCCACCACACGCCATTCAAAGTACAAATGGATGAATATCGCTCCTTGTAACAAATCACTTATGGCAAATAAGCTTCTTACAACCAATTTGGAACGATTTCTAAGACGGATTAAATCTCCGCTTACGCGTTAATAGCGCGAATTATATCGCGCGTTAATTGTCCCAAATTGGCCAAAATGGCAATCTTTGAATCCCCATAACTTTACGAAAAATGATTACAGGTGAAATATGTTTTCAAGTTTAAGCTCAAGACAACAATAGCTTTCGAATGATATCAAAAAATTCCGTAAAAAATGGCTAGTTAAAAAGTCGAAATTTGTCAGAAGAAAAAAAACCCACCCCGAGCACAAATATCCCGTTACTTTCGTATCGAAAGTCGGAACAATAATTGAAAAGATCACAGAAAAATTCATAATCAAAAATGAATTTTCTGTGATTTTTCTGTGAAATGAAAGTCGGAACAAAAATTGTTTTACGCGCATTGAATAAACCTAAGATTGAAATTAGCCTTAATCGATTTTTATATAATTTGAAAGAAATATATAATTGGGTTTCAATGGAAGAAAACCCCATTGAAACCCAATTGGGATAATTAAAATAGATAATTTAGGGTTTTATGCAGTTCAAAAGTATCGAAAATATTTGCTTCAAAATTACATAGTTTTATTTAAGAAATGCGTTCGGCCACTGTATATAAACAGCCCCTATAAGGTTGATTATAAAACTTAACAGAAACAATAATAATGATTCAGTCGTTTCAGAATAGATTATATTATCCAAAAAATTATTTGCTGTTAAGTTTTTTTTTGAAAACAAGAAAAATAGTTTGAATCCGAAAATTAACAAGACTGCTCGTGTATCAGGGCGAGGCTCTGAATGTTCCGACTGCACTTTATGTTTTTTTGTTTTTGGTTGAATAGACAGAACAGTCGAAAAATCAGGAAAAAAAGTTTTAAAGAGTCGATGAACGTAGTTCAGACGAATGTCCCACGTTTCGCCCCGCACACATTTGACCCCTCTTAAATCTAGTGGCACATGTCGCCCCCACACATTTCGTCCTCGCACGTTTCGCCCCTAAGTTATTACACAGTTAATTAACGCCGCTTTCTTAATGTACATTTTAGGGGCGAAATGTGCCAGTAATTTATGAAGGGCGAAACGTGTGAGGGGCGAAATGTGTGAATTATAGTTCAGATTCTTATATAGGCCGCGATTATTTTAGTTTTTTTTTCAGGAAAGTTCTTGAAGTTTGTTCAAGCTCAAATTTCCTTTTTCTTGTTTTGAGTTTTGATTTCTTTTTAAATTCAGTTAGTTTCTTTTTAAGCTCCCCAATTTCTTTTGTTAAAAGGAAGGTGAAATCCACCATCGAACAGTAAAAATGTTAAGGTCAAGAAAAACGTGATCGATATCGAATTTTGAAAATGGAATTTAATTTTCAGATTTTCCAGCGAAATAAAAAGCTTACCTATTGATCCAGTTTTCTCAAATTGAGTCAATTTTATCAGAAAAGTGCCAATCATAAATTGGTCTAGAAATTCAAAGAGCTTTAAGGGCATATATTATTTTTTTGAAACAATTTAGTATTTTTTTTGAGTTTCTTGGCTTTTTTCCTACTGTCTGTTGGCTATGTTTAATCAACTGCTGGTAAGTATTCTTCCGACCTCTCTCTTTAAGGAGAACATGAGCTATGGCATAGGGACATTTTCGTTTTTTTTTTTCAGTCCATTTTGATTACGTCTACGAAAGTAGAAGTCAAGTTTGGAAGAAAACTCGTATTGTATTAAAACCCTTTAGGCCGTGATTTGGATTCTGAAAGAAATCAGAAAATTTTTGCTACGATAGAAATTGGTCTGACGGTTTATGTTTTCAGAATAAGTTACATACAGCCTGAGAGTTAGTGCGTTCCAAATTGAATTGAGTCCTATTTTTTTTAAAATTTGTTATTGCCATCAATTCAGTCCTATTAAAATAATACGAGACACTAAACACGCCTTTGTGTTTACATAATGTTTGAGGGGGGATAAACTGAATAAAAAAATGGAAAAAAAAAACTTTTTATTTGACTTTGAAGTGCAGTTGGAAAGTTGAGCGTTTTGGATCAATTTTTTTAAATCAACCTCATGAATGAAAACTTTGCTTTACTATATTCAAAGTTTATCGCGATGTACTTGCCATGGGTTGTGGAAGGTTTTCAAATTAAAAGAACATTTCAAAACTTTTTTCAAGTTGTTTTCTGAAAATTAATCCAAATTTATTTTGCCAAAAATTACTTCAGATACTTTAAGGGACAGTCGGAACAATCAGGGCTTGACATTGATACAATCAGTCATGTTTTATAAGCGTTGCCTTGTTGTTCTTAATTGATGTTTTTTAATTGTTGTTTTTAATTGTTGTTTTTATTCAGATGCGAGTCGTGCAGAAGTGAACCGACAACTTTCGGCTATGCGGAAACAGCTGCTAAGTGAACAGAGGCGAATCGAAATGCAGATCGACAACAAAAACGTACGTTTTTAACATTGCAGTTTGCATGCATAAACTCGTTTTCAAAATTTTGTAATAATTATGGTGCTGTTATGTAAAACTTAAATTGTGTTGAAAAAAGTGTACATCTCATTCGCTTTGTAAACTTTTTACAAATCAATTCAATGAAACATGCTTCTGCTAAATGAAATCTTAGCGGCTTTTATTTTAAGTAAACAATCTGGGATCAACGGTACAGTCCCCCCTAAGTAGCGAGTAGCCTACCATCCATAGAATGCCCCCCTCAAGCATGTATTTACTCTGAAAATTAATTCTGTATAAAATATGCATTTCATACAAACTCGCAAAATTCGGGAGGCGAGGGAGGGGGGATTGTACGGTTGATCTAAAATATGTCTTGTTAAGCTTTGAGATAAAAACTTTTTAGCATGTTAGGTTAAATCTCAATTTTCATGTAATGCATGCATGTATGGCAATAACTAACAATTTCAGGTTTCATCAAATAAAGTTGTTATTTTATATTCGAAACGTAACCAAACTAACCGTAAATTTCAGAGTTGATTTAATTAGTGCTGTTTTTTTTCTGAATGACCTGGTTTAGGGTTTTAACGCCTGGGGCCAAACTGGCTCTTCGGTCGTGCAGTACCCCTTAGATTTGACCTCGATTGACGCCGAACTGTTCCGTCGCGAGCTGGAAACAGAAAAACACGAGAAGTCTATGAATACTGGAGGTCGCGAGTTTCCGATAGTACAGTCTAGACCAGCGACTCAATTGCCGCCGATTAATCCCGCGTTAGAAACAGAACCAAAAATTTAACTGCAATCAGAAATTTTTAATAGGGACTGAAAAAAAAACTGGCTGTTTGAATTGCTGATTTTTTGAAAGAATCTTTCTTAGTTTTTTCAGAAATTCTGTTTTAGTTTTACGTGATATTTTTGTACCATCAGTAATGGTGATTTTGAAATTTTTGAAAGTTTGGCTTTTTACATTTGATTAAATAAACAACTCTGAAAGCCGTTTGAGTTTATTTTTGTTGGGTTTTTGTCATTTTATTTGAGGACTTTTTTTAAAAAAAAAAACTAAGAATTGGACAAAAAATTAGATACTGGTTATCATAGATACCGAACCGAATCGACATCAAGCAGCATCGAAGATAACACAAGTAAACCCCTTACCGAACCCTTAAGAGCCTCGACTTCAAATGGACGTCCAAAAAACTCGAATCACTCTTCCAGTAATACGCCAGCGGCCCCTGTCACGCCTCTGCGCTCGACCACTCCCCGCCGCAGGGGATCCGCGGGAAAACGGGGTCGGCTATTCTCTCGAAGTAGCTCACTACCCCCGACTGCTGTTCCGGTGGACAGCGAGATGATGCCGCACATTCTGGAAGAGTTTGATTTGAGTCCCAAAACAACTAAGTCCACCACGTCTACAGGGGTAAACACAATGCCGATGACTTCAAACGGAACAGAAGGGGGGACAGCTCAGGCCCAACAAGTTTCAGAAACGAAGGAATCGGATAGACCTTCGGAGAGTGAGTTTCAAACGGACTTGCTGAATCCGGAAGATGTCAACCGGCCCGATTCAGAAACCCTAACACCACCGGATGAAAATGAAGCAAAACCAGAAAGTTCCAATGAAAATAAAACCAAACCAGAAACTGCAAATGAAAACAAAACTAAACCAGAAACTGCAAATGAAAATGAAAATAAAAACGAAACGACAGAGAGTTCGACCGAAAAAGAGCCTCCGCCGCCCTATAAACTAGAAGTAACCCAAACTTCAACTGATAATCTGAGTCGACAAGAAACAACCGAACAAGAAAATCGTGCTGATTTAAATGAAAGTTCAACACAGTCGAGAGAAAAAGAGCGAAGTTTTCCAAAAGAGGAGTCTCAAACTGAAATTGATCAAATATTTTCTGGTGAAACTCAGCCGCAAAATTCTGAAGATCGAAACGCTTCCGCTACAAATACAGTAGAGGAAAACACGATTATCATTCGAGAAAATTCCGAACAGAGAAATTATGTTGAAAATGGAGACGAAAACCAAGAGTTGGATGTAACAAGGTCTACCATTCTTCCAAATATGGCAGATGATGCAACCACGATTCCCGACGATGACGTAAGTGAAGCACAGACTCTCGGCGACCAATCAGAAAACAATACTGACCGGTTAGAAAACGATGATGCGAACACAGCTAATGCTTCGCTTGAAAGTCCAAACGCGTTTCAGAATTACAGCTATTCAAGTATGAATATTAAAGAGCCGAAAAAGGGAGGAATTCTAAAAAGGAACCAATCAAACGATGACCAGGATGAAGCTAATACTAGTCAAAACCAAGAAGTAAAATTTGAACCTGATTCTGAAGTTAAAGATTTAGAAACTGACGTCTTTCAACCCGAAGGGGTAAATCGAAACGACGCAAATTTGAATACTTCTCAAATAAACGATCCGAGTACTGTAAACGGAACCGAAAGTATAGCTATGGGCTATTTAGCCGAAGCCCAGAGCGAAACAGATGCTGCTAAACCTCCCGGACGTAAACGAAAAAGCGTGCGATTCTTCGAAATTATTGAAGACGATCCAGGTCGGCCAATCGAGCTTCGAGACTTCGCGATACCAATCAATAACAAAATGCCGCCGAGGGTTAAAAGCATTGCGGCCGAATCAAATATGCAAGTTTTTGAAGATTATAAAGGCCATGGACCGTATCCAGATTCAGCTCGTTTAGCCTACATTCATACTAAATTAGAAGACGAAGATTTTCGGCAAAATTTAACGGTTCCTCAAAGTCAACGTGTGTTATCTGGTCCAGACTCTTCGGCCATGCGATCATCTCTGCTAATTGAGAAGCCAGCTTGGACCGAAACGTCGAAATCTCGAGAAGCCAAAAATGAAGAGTCAGTGTCCAAAGACAAACCGTGGTTGGATTCGTTCAGTAAAAAAGAAGTGCAAAAAATTGAAGCGCAGTTTTCAGGCAAAGATATCGTGAGTGCTCACGAGTATCTCCGAGTATCTGGCGTGAACTAACTCGGTTGTACCGATCAAAGCTTAATGTCAAAGTCAAAGTCATGACTCATTTGAAGGTCAAAAAATACAATTCATTGAAGGTCGTCGAAAATATGTCAGTTTGACATGCATCGTTGATTTACAGACATTAGCTTTGTCTGTCACTAACTGTACTAACCACATGCAAATTACAATATATCAATGTTTTTATCATAATTTATTATTTTTTTGTCATAAATTTGAAGCTTTAAAATTAGTTTTTTTTTTTGGTCGGAACCCGATTTTTTAAATGTCACTTTACGTTTCAGCATTACCCTGATTATCCTCAAGGTCGTCAGGCTAAAAAGCGCATCGATAGCGTCTTCGAAAAGGGCGTAAGACCCGAAGATATAGATCACTATGGTTTTTCGAAGCGAGACGTAAGTTTGAGTTTGTGAGAAAAAAATCATTACATAAACATGTAAAAGTGATTTCTGATAACTAACCTACCTAAACTCGAAGCTATTCTTGAATTTTAATCACAGCTTGGTTCCATTTGTCTCGATTAAATTTCATTTTCAGTATTTTATTAAATTGGCTGAGCGTTATCATTAATTAGACTGATGGTCAAAATCAATCAACTTTGGTTTATAAGAAAAGTTTTCTAAAATGATAGTTTTTAAAAATTTTCAGTACATCCGAAGTTTATTTCGTCAGAAGAATTTCTACTATGTAAGATGCATGTTCACACTTTTTGTAAGCGAAAATCCGGACACGTATTAGCTTATAAACTTTTTCGACTATCTTGTAATAAAGTTTAACCCTCTAAAAAGTTACGAACAATGCTAAATAATTGTCCAAGGTCAGACAAAACTGAAGCGTCGGCTATATACTTTGTTTTACTAAAATTTGATGTTGTTAATTTAAACCTTGACTGTTTGCTCGTACAATTCATCATTGCGACTCAGTGTTCCTTTCGAAAAATCAGGTAGCATCTGTAATTCATATTTGAAAAATCCTAAAAATTTTTGTTGGTGCGAATTTTAAAAATGTTTTGCTAAATTTGCTTGCAAAACTGTCCTGAGCAAATCACATGCCATGTTATTTGTTTGGTAGGCTAGAATAGACTGTTAACTAGGAATCTAACAAGTTTAATAGCATCAACCGATTTGGAACTCTTGAGAACCGCAATGATTTTTTTTCAAAAATTTTTTTTTATAAATTTTTGAAAATTCCAGGTGCGAGAACGACCTTCGAAGCCACAGGGCGAGATGATTCTAACTGAGCCCGCGAAAGTGAGGAGGCCAGCACAAGCGGAGTCCTGGAAGCCCATCTTCAAGGACGAGCCAAATGAGGCTGCCCTGGACTTGTTCATGCACTCCAAATACGACCGTAAGTTGGCTATGTGTTCTGTAACGGAGGCTATTCTATCAGGAAGCGGGAAAAAAAGTTTTTGATCGAAAAAAAAATACTTTTTTTTCTATTTCTTTATGGCCAAAAAAGTTTAAAAACCTGTAAGTGCAAAAACCTTGAACTTTGATATTTAAACGCATAAATCAACACTTTTCCTCATTTTCCATCTGCATTTGTTGCGATCACGCAGTTTTTGCTTCAAAACACTGAAACATTTTTCAATTTTTTTTGGATTTTATCCGCGCATGAACGAATTTGGCCGAATGTTTTCATCACAAACTCCAGTTTTTGGTTTTTTAATTTTTTTTTGCTGTTTTTCTTTACACTCTAAGTTCCGGGATTTGAATCCCTTCTGACCTTGTTGTTTTCAGTAAGTACGTAATTGAACTTTTTTTTCGATAAAATCTAATTTGTTGGACTTCAGTTTACCTGCTCAAATTTTGTCGGCTTAATTGACACATCACGATTATTCTTTTGCAGTAGGCAAGTATCATGGCAGTTTCTTGTCTTTTTTGTTGTAGTTTTAGGGTCGACTCTAAACTTCTAAAAAAATATATAAATTCAATTTTTTCTGCTCAATTTTTGTCTTCTCTAAAATTGTTGTCTTTGTTTCTGTTTCGTAAGTTTTGTTCCGTTGCTTATAAATGTCTTGCTTGGCTTTTATGCCAAGAATGCCTGTTTGGTTAAAACAGGTTTTATGAAAAATGTATGGGATTGGGTTTTTTTGGACGTTTTGGAAGTTTTTTTCTGAATTTTTTATTTTTCTCCAAATCTGTTTTGTCTGCCGCCTTCGAAGAAGTCGTCTGTTGGGGGGGGGGGGGATATTTGACTCATATGTTTGATAATTTTTTCTGTTTCTCAAAAACTGCCCTCCAAAATCTGAGATTTTGGTTTCAATGAAAAAAGTTGAAAAGCTTCCCTGCATAAGCGGTTACGCTCCAATTTTTTTTTACATGACGTAATGGTCCTCGGAGTTGTCAAGTTTTTGATTTTTTGACCTTTTTTCGAATCTTTTTGACTTTTTTTGAAAACTAACATCTCAAATCTGATATTGGGGGTTCAATGGATAACGGGTAGTGAGAAGCTCATCTGCATTGGCGGCCACCCACGAAAAGTTTTACAAAAAAAGTTATCGCCCTCGGAAAAGTCAAATTTTCGATTTTTTTACCGTGTTTTTGAACCTTTTGGATTTTTCTCAAAAATTACCCTCCCATATCTGAGGTTTTGAGTTCAATTCAAAGAACGGAATTTGGAACCTCCTTTGCATATGCGACTTTGCCCAAATGTTTTGTTATAGCTCTTGGAAAAGTCAAAATTTTGATTTTTGAAACATTGACTTTTTGAGAACTGCCTTCTCAAATCTGAGTTTTTCTGGTTCAGTGAAAATTACAGATTACATGAACCTCTTCTGCATAAGCGGCTGCGCCCTAACTGTTTTTGCACAAAAAATTTAGATTTTCAGATCTGTCAAAATTTTGATTTGTTTTTTGGACTTTTCTCGCTAAAGTTTAGAAGAAGAAGTAAGAAGAAAACTTTTGGAAGAAAATTATTTTTTCGGAAACTTTTTGACTTTATTCGAAAACTACCGTGTCGATTCTCAGGTTGAGCGTTCAATCGAGAAACTCGGTTTTCGGAATCTTCTCTACTTAAGCGGTCACGACCTGCTTTTTGCAGAAAAATTTTTAGGCTTCGGAAAGTCAAGTTTTTGAACGTTTGACCGTTTTTTAGAAACTTTTTGAATTATCTTAACAATTACCCTATGAAATCTGAGATGAATAGTTCAATGGAAAGAGCCGGTGGCGACTCCTTAATTTTTGTAGGAGAAATGTTATGTCCTTGGGAACATTCCATTACCTCACAAACTTTACCTTCTTGCTTTTTTAGTATAGAAACAACGCGCTTTTTAGTATAGGAACAACAAAGGTTTTTGGTTAAGTTCATTTTTCGAAATCATAAATTTTGTCCCGCAGCAGTATAACAATTTCCAAAAATATCAAACACGTACCTCCAGCTTCAGCTAGGCCTCTAGTTGTCTTTTATCGAGACATGCGAAAGTTGTTTGCCTGGTTTTTTTCAACATTTTCATTTTTTTCTACTTATGTTTTTAAGTTTGTGTCTCTGTATATATTTTTTTTGCCTCGTGAATGATTATTGAAGTTAATTTGTAAGTTTCAACGAAGATTTGTTAATGCTCAAATGTATTTTTTTTCTAGCTTTGACTCGTTCTCGGGACAACTTCAGACAGGAGTTCCCGAATGCACCCCAGTCGAGTGACATGTTAGAAGTGCAGCAGAGGGAGCTCATCCGACAACAGGAGAGAGAACTGCTCAAACTCAGACAAGGTCAGTACGGTTCAACTTCAGTCATTCACGCGCATATATACATATATAGTTTTTTTTTGGGTTTCTGTTTATTCAAAAGATGAGCAAAACAAGTTTCCTATGTGTGAGTCTTTTGAGGGGGTAACTTGAAAAGTTTATGTTTTTTATGAAGACATTTTTTTTCAATAGTTTTGTTTGTCAGGTTTTTTTCAAAGCGAACAATATTCAAGGCAAAGGTGTGGAAAATTTGGTCGATCTAGCTTTTCTCGGCTTTTTCAAAGAAAAAAAATTTAAAGCGACTTTTGTCTCAATTGCTGACTGCTAGTTTGTCATGCTTTGTTTGTATTGTATCCCAAGTGGTGCGAAACTCTGCTTCGCCTCTGGGTAAGAAAATTTGCTCACACTAAATATCTTAGAATCGAATGATACACTTGAGGAACAAATATCTCGCCTCATTTCAATCTGAAATAATTTCTGTGGCGGTTTATTTAAGCCTGCATTAATCATTCATTCTAATTTGAAAGTTTTGAAACCCCTGTTGTTGCCTGAAATACGTGATTAAATGCGTGAAATAGTTATAACACGCATGAAAAACGCAAAGCTACAAGAAAAAAACAAGTCTGCGCGTGTTAAGTCGAAGCCTCGATTGTCCGTAGGCGTCTCTGGAATGAAAGTTTTAAAGTTTTTTTTAATTATTCCGAGTGTTATGTCAAGTCAATTTTCATCTATACACATTATTTGGACCAATTAAATTGCATGGATTCATTTTCCGATGGAACGTTTTCCGATCCCGACATTTTTTCAATTCTTGCATTAATAAAAATCGAGTTCTAAATAAAACACACTCTTTGATTATCCTTGATTATCAAATTGGTAACTTTCAAGAACTGTTTTTTAGCTTGTCCAGAGAAAGCGCTAAAATAGCACAAATATCCCTTTTTTTGAATTCAATGATGTAATATAAATCTTCCAGATAGTAATGGAGCTAATTAGTTTGCCCCAATTTAGTTTAGAGTGATTTTGAGCAATGATAGGCGATGATATGAATAATTTGAAATATAATTTTTTCTGAAAACAAATATTCAAAATGAAATTGAATTCAAAAAATAGTTTACAACAATAATAACCATGATAAATTGATCATCATGGCGTGATGTTTTTCTTGATCATCTTACAGTTGGAAAAAATTTTAATCGTATTCGCTTCCGCGCAAATTTAATCTGCATATAATTGACCGAAAAGCAACAAATTAGCTAGAAAAAAACTCTAGAAAAAGTACTTGTGCCTTAAAAATACTCGGCTTCAACTAGCGGTTTTCTTGCTAAGAGGTCAAAAGGCAAAGAGATTAATTACCACTTGTACCACTTGGAATGCTTAAGGGGGTAGGAAATCTGATAAATGCTTCGCGGAACTTCATTTTATGCAGAACATATATTAGATGGGTTTAAATAAAAATGAAATTTGAGGAAAATCAGAGAAAACAAAACAGTTAATTTGGTCCGCGTACAAATATGCGCTAAATTTCCAGTACATTTTTTCCAGTACACAACTTTTTGTCTGTGATCTAAATGCCCGGGACACAATATTATATGCACTAGTTTTACAAATGAGCAATATTGGAAAATAGAATTGTAGATTGCTCAAATATTTTGAGTATAAAAAATGTGGCTGTCAAATTACCAAGTGAATTATGATGAACAAATGTACAGTGAATCCGGAGGCTGGTCTTGGAGATATTCGAGAGGATGATCTGGCATTCCTCATAGACCATCCGGACGCCAAGTCTATGCCACTGGCATCCGATTCCGCCTATATTGGTGGGTAAACACCCCCACCCCTCTTTAATCAAAGTTGGATCTGTAATGAAGTAATAAGACTGAAATTTAATTGATGAGCCGAGAGTTGAATAAATTCTGGATTTTCTGCTAACTAATCCATTTGGACGCATCGTTTTTCGTTATACGGGTTACGAATGAAACAACAGTTAATCGTAGTCATTTGGCATATAAAAGTTTCGTCAGATATTTAACTTCGGTAATATACAATGATCCTGTACATTAATGATAAACTGAAAATGAAGCTTAATTTTATCTATGATTTATATAATCTAATAAATACCAATATGTAATCCACAGTTGCAATAAACTAAACTTATAATTGGGAAAATATTAACTTTTTTGAATTAATTCTTGTGATTGAAATTGATTACTTATCTAACTCAACTGGTTTGATTGACGACTGAGTAATAATTCATTTGAGTTAGAACACAATTAATTATTTCAGTTATTATATAACTACTTATCTAACCTGACTGATGGTGATGATGACTAAGCAGGTCTTCGCCAGTCGGAGTTGGATGTGATGATGGGGCGACTGAGTCTTCTGAGAGACAGTCCAGACTACCACGTCTCCAACCTCCTCGTCGCAGACACTGCATTCATCGGTCTCAACTCTCAACTCACCCCCCCCCCCCTTCTCTACTACACTCCACAATCAATTGAGCAAACCCCCCCCCCCCCCCCCTCTTTTCAACTACACTTCATCGTCAATTTAGCAGCCCCCCTCTTCTCAATCAATTTAGCAACTCCCCCCCCCCCGCTATACTTGATAAAGATTGAATCAACCTCCCCCATCCCCCTGCGGAATTGGGTAGTCTTTTCTTAATTTTTTTTATTGAAAAAAACTTTCAGACAGTCGTTGGATTGCGTGCTATTTAGACATCAACACACAACTAGCGCGTTCGATATTTGTCGATTTTTTTTCTCGGTTTCTTATCTGGGGGAAATTGTTCAATTGATCATAATTAATTAGTCACTTACTACTTTATTAATACTAGCTTAACAGTCTATCCAAACTGTAATTGTATGCTGGGTTAATTTTTGGCCGGTTTATTTTACATTCACTAAGATTAACTCAATGCTCATTTTCAGCAGACACAAAAACCTTTAGTAATTTTAGGACAATGATTAACTTAACTTCTTTGTTGCGCTTCGCTTAAGATCATTTTGCTCTAAATTGAATTGAAATTAAAATTGAAAAAAGCGAAAACTAAAAAAGGAAAAAAAAGTTGTTTTAATGTCATTAATAGTCTGAAAATAACCGCTCATAAACACAAAACAATTAGCTAATAGTAATGAGTCATTTTTTTGCCTTTTTTGGAAATTTGTCTGTTTATTAAGTAATTTGACTCTGATATTTGCCGATTCCTTTGTTGCGCTTCGCTTAGGCCCGTTTTGATTCACTTAGAAAGAAACTGAAAAATGAAAGACAAAAAATTAGTTTGATCTCATTAAAAGCCTGCAAATAACCACTACTAGCAATGAGTTTTATGGAATACAACTATTTATTTAAGGAGATATAGATGAAAAAGATTTGATTCAGATCAAACCATTCATAGATGAACTCTAACAACAACTGAGTTCTATAGGTCAATAAATGATCTTGGGTCTTTTCTGTTTTACGGCCTAAATTTAAAGTTTCTCTTTTATCGAATATTGAATACTTGAATGAGTTGCTTGAATCTGATCTGGTTGAAACTCATCAAACCAAAATGACAAGTTTTTGTTAGCAATGTTTTCAAAATTTTGGGCCTTTTAACAGAAAAAAAACCATGATCTTTGCCCCCATTTTTTAAATAAAAGGAAACATTTTGTGTTTATCCAGGTATGAATGGGGAGACGTTAGTCCCCACACCTCCGTTAATCACCAAAATGGAGCGGATGAGAGACCGAAGGAAAAAAGAGGCAGAGAAGCCCTCAACTCCCCCGACCAACATAGCGAACGAACCCAAACTCAAGGACCTCTTACCTTCTCCCCCGAGCAGCGCGGGCGGACTTACTAACCACCACAGAAATAGATCAGCTAACACCACCAATAACACCCTACTTGTTTCTCCCGATGTTGATGATGTCACTTTACCCTTCGAGCCTTTTCAGGTTAACAACGACATAACGTATGATTTAAATAGTCCCACTGTTATGTTTCCAGATACTCCGCAACTTTTTTCAAGCACGCGGAAAAATTCACTTGTTAAAGTTGACAAAGTGTATCAAAAAAGTGATAATTGTTTTGGTAGATCTAAACAAAGTCGGCAAAACGTTTTTGTTAATACTAAAAGTAAGATAACCAGAAGATCACCTAACGATACTCCGTTGCCCTGTGATTCCAAATATTTGCCCGGGTTTTTGCCCTTAAGTGTTGATAACAATTCAAACCTCGTAGATGAAAGTCCGCCGCTGACCCCGACGCCTACCGTCATCGCAGCGAGTCGTCGGGTTTCCACTCGGCAACTTGTTCCGCTCGTGGACACCGTCGGACCGGTAGTCGTAGACCAAATACGGAACGAAGCCCGCTCGGTGAAAGGGATGAACTCGACAACGTTTTGTCAATTTCCCGACACTCCAATCTCAGAGAGAACTGTTTATTCGGAGGGGAACTCAGAGATCAATGTCTAGATGTAGCAAAAAAGCATAACATAAATGAAAAGCAATTTAATTAACCAAACTATTGACTCCATTTTTTTTCCATCCAAGCACTTAGTTGTCAGCGCACAGTTTTTGTTCCGATTTTCGAAGAAAGTGAGGAATATATATACTTGAGCGGTTTTTATTCAGACCTAATACCAAAATAACCTTTACTAGTCTGGGGATTGAGTCCTGGATCTTAGTCGTGATGCTTGCGAGGTCGCGCAAATCACTATCCCAACATGACTCTACGGTTGCTGTGATGTGTAAGAGTCGCTGAACGTAGTCCGCGAAATAGGCCGCGATGATTTTTCTTCGAGAAAAATCCTAAAATTTGTTCAGGCTCAAGTTTACTTTTCCGCGGTTTGACTGTTGACTTCTTTCTAAGATCATTTCATTTCTTTTGTGAAAAGGAAGGCAAACTCCACTATCGAACAGCAGAAGTGTAAAGGTCACGAAAAACGTGATCGACTTTTAGTTCCGAACGTGGATTTTAAATTTCAGATTTCCCAGCAGAATAAACAATTTGCCTATTGATCCAGTTTTTTGAGGAAAAATTACCAAAACCCACCCGAAGACAAAGTTCGTGCCCGGTCAATTTCAGTGATCGGTACAATAAGCCTGTTAATTTTGTTTTATAAAAGGATACAATCTCCACTTTTTTCTAGGCAGAGAAGAGTTTCTCCAAAGACGACTACATGAACAAACAGTTGCCCAATCCTGACTCGCTGTCTTTGGGTTCCAACTTCAGCTTCGACGTTGACGCAGTGGCGAGGAAAAACAAGGAGCGCCTCAAGAAACTAGACAACTCCAGAGGTCAGTAGAACCATCACAGGTCTATTTCTAAATATTCTATCTGCCTATCGCATTGATATGTCTTAACATAAAATTGAAAGATATTTTACGCCTTCTATTTTTTTTTCGGAAAACCGAAACAGGTCAGTATTTTTTTCTTTTTACTTGCGTTCATTGACTCTTTTCCAACTGTCAGTTGGCTATGTTTAAATTGGGTTATTTCATCAAAAAAGTGTCAATCATAAACTGTTCTTGACATTCGAAGTGCTTTAAGGCTATATGTTTTTTCTTTGAAATTTGAAAGCTATAGTTTTTCAAAAAAACAAGTCAAGATTTTTTCTGTTTAATTGCGTTCATTGACTCTTTTCCAGCTGTCTGTTGGCTATGATTTTACATATAAATTTGATCCCTGTTTACGACAGAAGGACCGATTAGGTGAAATTTTCATCAATCAGTGTCTTTCAAGTAGCTCAAACTAACCGATTTCCTGCATGTTTCTTTCAAATTTTCTTATAACGAATTATGAGGGGCTAACATAGTTTTCGGATATTCGGTTTTTCTGGCACAAGGGATTCTTCCATAAATCAGACGCAACATAAAACGTTAAAAAGTAACCAGAAAACACATTTAAATCTTAACCGAAGGCAAATCAGCGGTTCTCCGTAAAGAGCTGAATACTTTTTACGTTTGTTGTGTTCACTCGAGGATAAATTGTAAACGAGACAAGTCTGCGTGATTCTCGGCCGGAAATAATCAAGTTTGAAGTAGCGAAACACCCTCAAACGGACTACTGCCCAAATAGCCCAAAATTTAATTGAGTTAAACACTGATTCACGCGCACTATACTATTGGTGCGAATTTGACTTTTTGGTCGTATTTTGTCATATTCAGTTCAGTTTACCCGAAAATTTTTTGGTTAATTGGGAAGTTTTTTCGGCTCTGCAAAACGCTAAACTTGTGGTAATCTACTTTTGAATGCTTGCTGGAGTATGTAATTTTTCTAGACATGCCATTTTATACACCCCCTGCAAGGAAAAGTAGTTGTGTCATTTAAAATTTTTGCCAAACTAAGTCAATTTCTCTATTTAAACCATATTTCAACCGGATTTTTTTCGGATCATTTATTTTCAAAATAAATTACTGCTGTTGAACTATCGATAAAACTTTCATGCTTCTTTAGTTTTCTCGTGGGCCTCGAAAAAAAACACGTAATTTCAAAAGTTAAACAAATTCGTTCTATTTTCTCAGATGTGTCTTACTTCATATCCAGAATCGATTTCTGAGTGAAAAAAGCCCGATAAAATTTTATCAAAGGTATTTGTAGTTAGATTGATCATGATATTATCGTATAATACTCAAATTAGTTTGAACTCATTTCAGAAACTATTTCATTGTACAGAAACTATTTCATTGTTTTGTTTAATCTTAAATCAGCTACGACCAAATAATGAAAAAATTGAATCTTGTCTAGTTTCTGTAATGTTCATAAATTTTATTTTTTCTATGGTTATTTGCCGTGTAGTTTTTGCAGTGCTATTTTTTGCGGCGGAAAAATTTGGATTTAGCAGTTTTTTTTTGCATTGTTTTTATGCAGCGTTCTAAAACTCAATCTGGTTTTATTTACCCTGACAGATAAATATCTGTTTCAGAAGATGATGACCTATCAATCACTGACCCTGACGAAGTACTGCGCAAGTTTGTAGATCACGATCTCAATCCCAAGAACATCAGGTAATTCTTTTTTTACACACCTCAGCTATCGTAATGTTATTTTAGTGTTACACCAGCGTAGTTTTATATTATCAATCCACTTTTGTCTAATCCAACCCGCGTAAAATAGTGCTCTTTTTGGTAGCACTTTTGCTGCATAGCGTTTTTGCATATTAGTTTTTTTTATTTCAAGCGCAGACGGCAGGACTTTGGACTCGGTTTGGCAGTTCGAATCCGCCAAACCACGTCTAAAATTTTATTTCTTGCAGTTTTCTCGCTTGGCATCGCGAAGAGCGGCTTCGCCTCTGTGTCTAAACCGAATCCGTATTTGATACACTTATAGTCAATGCCAAATGGGTGGCAAAATCTGGGACCTTGAGCAATTTAATCGGTTCGGTTAAAAATTAAAGTATTTAAGATTTGTTGTTCCGACTATCGATACGAAAGTAACGGAATATTTGTGCTCGGGGTGGGTTTTTTTCTTAGACAAATTTCGACTTTTTAACTAGCCGTTTTTGACGCAATTTTTTTATATCATTCGAACGCTATTGTTGTCTTGAGCTTAAATTTGAAAAGATATTTTACCTGTGATCGTTTTTCGTAAAGTTACGAGGGTTTAAAGATTGCCATTTTAACCAATTTGGGACAATTAACGCGCGATATAATTCGCGCTATTAACGCGTAAGCGGAGATTTAATCCGTCTTAGAAATCGTTCCAAATTGGTTGTAAGAAGCTTATTTGCCATAATTGATTTGTTACAAGGAGCAAAATCTATCTTTTTGTACTTTATTTGGCGTGTGGGGGGATGATTTCATAAAAAATTTCAAATTTTAGAAAAGAAATTTTCATTTTCGTTACATTTTTTTATAGGTTACTACTGCTCCTTAAACATTAAAAGGCAGTCGGAACATTCAGGGTTTCGCCCTGATACGAGCAGTCTTGTTAATAATTTGGCCACAGTTTTTAAGAGTGGAAGTCAGTGATGAAGAAAAATCCGACGGCAAATTGAGCAGTTTTTGGGTAATTAGTTTCGTTCAGATTCATTGACCGAAAAGATATTGGTAATAATTTGGCTTTAACTGCAGTGTTGATTTGAATAAACCGGGCAAAACGAAAAAACTTGAAATTGTAAACGTATTTTTCTGAAATTGTATTGAGGTTAGACAAAAAAGTAGAGAACAAAAGTTGATTAGAATTTTACCAAAAATAAAATGGTGCACTTTCTTTTCCAAAATATGCAAAAAAAAAGATTATTTTCATTACGAAGCCAAACTGTGCACTGGATAGGCGCACAATTTTGTGTCTGTATGTTCCTGGTTTCCAGAGACAAGTCTTCAAACATAATAAAATTTTGTCGGAACGATCAAAGGAAAGTAAAGAACAAAAGAAGAACAAAGGGAGCGTCCTTGTTGCGGAATCCGCTTACAATGCACAGTTTGGCCTCGTAATGTTGTTTTTTTCATAATTAAACAAGAATTACGCTTCAGCTACCAAATTAATTGAACAGAAAGTTATATCACATAAAGCCTTCCTCAGCCAATAAAAATTCTAGAAGGATAAAATCTCCAAAAAAATTATAAGAGAATATCTTTTCGATTGATGGCCAAAAAAGGTCATTGCTACTAAGTAAAACCAAATCGTTGCCTAAAAATAATTTTCAAACGTTTTGCGCAAAGTTGTGTTTGGAGATATTACCATTCTAGAATTTTGATGGTTTGGGTAAGAGGCCTCATATGTTTTAATTTCTTTTTATCATTTAACTTGCAAGTTCAATCGTAATTTTTGATAAACAAAAAAAAAGCTGAAATGTGACCCACTTTGGGGTAAATTTTTGTTTACAATTTTCATATTGAACTTCTGGTAAAATTCTAACCAACTTTGGTCTTGTTCATTTTTGTCAAATCACCGCCTAAGTTTGATGGACCTCTTGAATACAAGGACCATTGAATCATATCTATCTTTTCATTGTCTTACGCTAAAAATATAATTTCTCATTAAGCTAATTTAGCAATTTGCAGAAGTTTTTTAAAATGACTTTCCGCTTTTGTGTTAAATCATTTCAAGAAGTGCTGTTTGTTTTCAGGCCAATTTCAAGAATGACTAATGACACGGAGCCTGATTGGTTAAGACCTACCAACTGACACGCAACGTGATAGGTTGAGGTGTCTAAAATCAACCGAAGCAGGATCCTGGGGGATCAAGGAGGATTGTCCGAAACTTGCCCCCCCCCCCCAATTTAGAAGTCAAAAAGGAGAAATCAATAGAACTATAGCGAGATAATCCATTGATATCAATTCGTCCCGAATATTTTTTGGTCTGAAGAAATCGCTTGTAAATAATTTAAAACTGCAAATTGTATATTGTAAATTTTTTCCGGCTCTTATGCCAATTATATTGTTCTCGTTTTGCTCAATATGTTTCAGTTTAATCTCTAATCACCTACAAATATTTTGTGTCTAATCGGAAACCACTGTTAGCGTTAATTATGTTTTCAAGCTCTTGAATAGGGTGTTTTTTCTGTTTTTTTTCCTTAGAAAAATTGGCATTTCAAGAAAACTTCAGAAGTTATTACAAAAAGAGACAGCCAGAAGTTACATAGAGAAAGTTGGAATTGATTTTGATGATTGTTAAGTCGCGATTTCCGTTGTAAGCCATAATCTAAATACATCTGTTGTCAAGAAAAATTATGTATTTTCTCCTCGCTATTTATTGTCATCAGTTTTTTGTTATAGTCCAAAATTTGTTGTTATTGCAGAAATTTATGCAACCAGTCTTCAAAATTGCCTAATTGATGTAATAAACTTAATTGAGCTCATTTGCTTTTGAATCATTTAAAATGGTATGAATATCTTAAGACAAACTCGGCCTGAACTAAAAAAACATCTTAGTCATATGTATTCTTTTTTTCAAAAATTTAAACAGTAATCCCAAATCGGCGCCTTTTACAAAATTCAAACCTTCATACTTTTGCGGTCACAGATGAAGTAAAGTATCTTAACACACTTGCGAAGCTAGCGTATTAGCACGAACCTTTTTTTTCCAACCTAAGTGGCTAATATTGGTGCCACTGGAGCACATTTACAGCTTTTTGATAGCGTGTGCTTTGACATTCAAATAGTAACAAATTAAGACAGTTGATGCAATTTTAATTCATCAAATGAACCGAAAAAAAGCTATCTCTTTCAAACAAAATCACAATAATAAAAACTCGATTTCAGAAATTTTCCAACTTAATAAATCTCAAAATTTTTTGAAATGCATAATTTATACATAATGGGGCTTTATGCTTTGCAATTTTTAGATGCAAAGTTAGTGTGGATGCCTTCAGTTTGTTATAATCCAAATTATTGCTTGCAAGATGAGTCTATTTATATTTGGTGAATCGCATTGGCAATTTATTAGCATATGTAGCTGCTTTTTTCCTGACTATTGTTTGTCGGTTGTTAAGCTTGGGTGGCTGAGGGGATAGTGCGTAAGACTCAAAATCTCTTGATTGCAGTAGGTCGCAGATTCGAACCCTACACGTAGCCTAGTTTTTGATACTTCGAAGCTTATTTCTGCTTTATCTTCACTTGATAGAGCTGCCCTGAGAGAGCAATTGCGAGGGACATGAACTTACTAATTAAAGAAAACTGAAAAAAGTTGCATATTATTGGGTAGGTAAAACCTTGAAAAACGTTTGAAAAAAAAAATGAGAAATGATTATCAACCATTTCTAACGAGTCTTCAGGACTTAAACTATTTTTGATCAGCCAATTATAAGCTAAAAGTAGCTGATGTTCAATTGATTTCCGATTTTGAAAGGTTCTACAGTATTCAGAAAGTAATATGTATTTTGTAGTCTTTTCAAAAAGAAAAGGTTTTGTTTTTTTCTTAATTAATCAAGAATTACGCTTCAGCTACCAAGTTAATTAAACAGAAAATTATATCACATGAAGGCTCCTACTCATCCAATAAAAGTTCTAGAAAGATAAAATCTCCAAAAAAATTATACGAGAATATACTTTCGCTTGATGGCCAAAAAAGGTCATTTTTACTAAGTAAAACTCAAAATCGTTGCCTAAAAAGAAATTTCAAACGTTTTGCGCACGTTTTGCTCCAAGTTGTGTTTGGAGATATTAACAGTCTAGAATTGTGGTGGTTTAGGTAAGAGGCCTCATGTATTTTAACTTTTTTTTATCATTTACCTTGCAAGTTCAATGGTAATTTTTGATAAACAAAAAATGCTAAAATGACCCATTTGGGGGTAAATTTTTGGTAGCGATTTTCATATTGAACTTCTGCTAAAATTCTATTCAACTTTGGTCTTTTTCTTTTTTGTCAAATCCCTGCCCACTTTGAGAAAAACACATTTGATTTTTTATTTTTTTTTATTTGTCCGGATAATTCAAATCAATACTGTATAAATAATGGGGCTTAATACTTTTCAAAAGTTGTATGGACCTCTTGAATACAAGGACCATTGAATCATATCTATCTTTTCATTGTCTTACGCTAAAAATATAATTTCTCATTAAGCTAATTTAGCAATTTGCAGAAGTTTTTTAAAATGACTTTCCGCTTTTGTGTTAAATCATTTCAAGAAGTGCTGTTTGTTTTCAGGCCAATTTCAAGAATGACTAATGACACGGAGCCTGATTGCTTAAGACCTACCAACTGACACGCAACGTAAATTGTAAATTTTTTCTGGCTCTTATGCCAATAATATTGTTCTCGTTTTGCTCAATATGTTTCAGTTTAATCTCTAATCACCTACAAATATTTTGTGTCTAATCGGAAACCACTGTTAGCGTTAATTATGTTTTCAAGCTCTTGAATAGGGTGTTTTTTCTGTTTTTTTTTCCTTGGAAAAATTGGCATTTCAAGAAAACTTCAGAAGTTATTACAAAAAGAGACAGCCAGAAGTTACATAGAGAAAGTTGGAATTGATTTTGATGATTGTTAAGTCGCGATTTCCGTTGTAAGCCATAATCTAAATACATCTGTTGTCAAGAAAAATTATGTATTTTCTCCTCGCTATTTATTGTCATCAGTTTTTTGTTATAGTCCAAAATTTGTTGTTATTGCAGAAATTTATGCAACCAGTCTTCAAAATTGCCTAATTGATGTAATAAACTTAATTGAGCTCATTTGCTTTTGAATCATTTAAAATGGTATGAATATCTTAAGACAAACTCGGCCTGAACTAAAAAAAACATCTTTGTCATATGTATTCTTTTTTTCAAAAATTTAAACAGTAATCCCAAATCGGCGCCTTTTACAAAATTCAAACCTTCATACTTTTGCGGTCACAGATGAAGTAAAGTATCTTAACACACTTGCGAAGCTAGCGTATTAGCACGAACCTTTTTTTTCCAACCTAAGTGGCTAATATTGGTGCCACTGGAGCACATTTACAGCTTTTTGATAGCGTGTGCTTTGACATTCAAATAGTAACAAATTAAGACAGTTGATGCAATTTTAATTCATCAAATAAACCGAAAAAAAGCTATCTCTTTCAAACAAAATCACAATAATAAAAACTCGATTTCAGAAATTTTCCAACTTAATAAATCTCAAAATTTTTTGAAATGCATAATTTATACATAATGGGGCTTTATGCTTTGCAATTTTTAGATGCAAAGTTAGTGTGGATGCCTTCAGTTTGTTATAATCCAAATTATTGCTTGCAAGATGAGTCTATTTATATTTGGTGAATCGCATTGGCAATTTATTAGCATATGTAGCTGCTTTTTTCCTGACCATTGTTTGTCGGTTGTTAAGCTTGGGTGGCTGAGGGGATAGTGCGTAAGACTCAAAATCTCTTGATTGCAGTAGGTCGCAGATTCGAACCCTACACGTAGCCGAGTTTTTGATACTTCGAAGCTTATGTCTGCTTTATCTTCACTTGATAGAGCTGCCTTTTGGTCGTGTTTCGCAAGTGTTTGCGAAGCTCAGCTTCGCCTATGTAAATTTTGAGCTCAAGGTAACGAAATTTTTCTGACTCTATTAAAAATATTGATGAAAAAAAAATTGACGAAACTAAAATCTTTCGGAATTTTCAAATAAAACGAAGTTCTCGCAATATTGTGATGCGCAATAATTGTGATGGGAAACAATATTTTTTCTTAATGTTTTCAAAAATTTGATCAAAATTAGCTGGTTGGAAACTCAGATTTTTCTTAGCTCTCAGAATAAACAAAAGATCTCTCGCGAAATTGAAGTAAAAAATGGGGAAAATGTAGAGAAATTGAATCAGTGGGTTTGTTTTGTTTTCGCGCGAAATCACACCCTAAACAGTTATCTAAGTTAGATTCAAGAAGTCGAATGAAAACGAATTCAAATTTTTGTTTTCAGATCAATTTTTAGCAAAAAAAACGCAATACCAGGCAGGCGCGGATCTAGGAATTTCTATAGGGGGGGCGAATTTTTTTTTTAAATTGAAAGTTTTGTCGACCTTTTTTTTAGGTCGACCAAATTGATTTTTTGAGCTCTCCCAAAACACTATAAAGACCCTAATTTGACAAAATTTTCTGCGCCGCAGGCAAATTTTTGATAAAAGGCCTTTTTTAGGCACTTTTTGGAAAATTTCAACCAAAAAATCGCGTTTTTTCGGCGCGCACTCCCCTCTGAAAATTAGTATAGATTGGCGCCGTAGGCGCCTTTAGAACAATTTCAACGTCAGTCAGCCAATAATTGATATCTCAAAATAGTACAAAGGGGGGACCCTTTGGGTCGGCAGGGGGTGGAATCGCTGAGGTGGGGGGGGGGGGGGGGGCTAAATCCGCTACTGATACCAGGCTTTTATTTGGGCGAATAGCTTCACTAAGGTTATTTTACTCCAGTATTTTTAGTTTGTTATTAAGAATCGATGTACATAGTTCAGACTCTTTTATATTTTTTTATAGGAACAGTCATTACACCAGCCGCAGCTTAGTAAATTATTAAGAAACTTCTATTTTTCTAACCTAAGTCGCAAATTATTTTAAAATCTTTTTAGCTTTCTCATAGAAATAAAATATTTTTTATAAAGTTTCGTTTTTTTTTGTATTCTCTGTTTGCCAAAATTTGTGTCGAACGAATCAGCCCAATGTATATAATGATCAATCAGACCTAAATACTCAGCTATCGAATATGTCGAAAAATTTAAGTTTTTTCATCGTATCACACGACGAACAAAAAACGACACAAATTGAAAAAAAAGTTCCAAATAGATTTTATGATTGGTGTCCGACCCTTTAGTGCTACTTGCACAGATACCACCTATCCTTGTTACACAACACTTTTATTTTATAGCTGAAAAATTGTTACTAATCTTACTTTTATAGCCTCTCCTCTGCAAACAAAAAAAATCGAGTTAAATTTTGGGTTGCTATAAATACTACGGCAAGTTTCTCTCGAAAAATATTATCGAATTTTCATAAAACGTTAATTGTTTCAAAGCTTTGTAAGTTTAAAATTTATTCT